ATATCGTTAATGCATTCAGTTAGTCGATTTTTGAAATTTCATTCAACTCGCTGAAGCATATTGACGGGTATGTTGACGATGGCTTGGCGTATGTTGGACTTCAAATAATGTAATGTTCATGGACAGTCATTGTAAACAATTCATCTAAGATAATCTCATAAGAAAAATCATACTGATCCAAATTGGGAGACCGGGCCGGCCAAAGAAGTCGCATCTGCTCTACAAAACGGCCATTAGAAAAGTACGCCTCGACAGCAAACGCACGCTGCTCGATTGTCTAATGCACAGTAGCAATTGACTAGGCGGGACACAAAACTTCATGACCTTGCCTTTCAAATAAAATACTCCTCGCGTTTTAACCACAATATCTGGCTGCTTGGCGCGAGATACAAAATAGGAAGTTTCTTTGAATCACCCTATAGTATAGGTACTATAGATGCTTGTAATGTAAAATTGTATAGATTATATATAGCAGTTGCTTAGTTCATAAAATGTTTATAAAAATATAAAAATTACATATTTTTATATTTTAAACCTATAAAATATATTATACCTTTTATAAAACCTATAAAATTATACTATAAGTTGTACATGCATGACTGAGCAACAGTAATAAGTTGAGGGTATAGCGCGTGCAGGCAGGGCGGCGTGATGCCGAGGGTGGTCGCCAGGTCGCGGCTTACGGTCGCGTTAGGCGCTCTTTGACGATCTCATCTTATGCGATGGTCCGGCAACTCTTGTTCTCATCTCCTAAGAACAAGGATCAATGGAGCCACCGAGAGCTGAAAAAGCTGTGTAATTTCTATTATCCCCTTTAAGAAGAGGCGTGGCTTGTTGTTCACCGACCAATGGCGAGTGTCGGCAACAGTTTCCAAGACCGCCTTCCATCTCTTCCTCTATCATTGACTTTTCTTTTTGCTTGCACCCTCTCCCCTTGAGTTCTCCGTGTTCTCTCTCATGCCTTGTCCCTTCTTGCAAGGGATGTTGCGCGTGTCTTCGGCTGCAGAGACATCATCTCGTGTTCTTGCGGAGCTGCCACCTCAAATTTAGTGCACCGCTCACAATGCTCAATGTAACCGCGCTATTTCGGGTAGCTTCATCCTCTATCATACACGTCTGCATGCGCTCTATTTATGAGTTAGTAGTTGATATATTAGTGAATAGTGAGTAGTTTTAGTAGCGAGTAGTTTCAGTGAGTAGTGAGTAGTTTTAATATAAATATACTCGATGTAATCACGTTATTTCGGGTACCTTTATCCTCTATCAGACACGCCTGCATGCGCTCTATTTATGAGTCAATAGTTGATATATTAGTGAGTAATGTGTATTTTCAGTAGTGAGTAGTTTTAGTGAGTAGTTTTAATATAAATATGCTCAATGTACCCGCGTTATTTCGGGTAGCTTCATCCTCTATCATACACGTCTGCATGTGTTCTATTTATGAGTCAGTAGTTGCTCGTATATTGATTGTATAATGTATTTATTTGTTTCGTAATGCTTGCTTACTGTGGGGATAATAGTATTGCAGTAAGAGCGCTAATAATCATGACAACGACTATCAGAATTTCTCACTAACGAGCTACACAATTGTTGAACTACCAGTTTCTATTATCCTTCATCAATTGTATTTTGTATAGGATATAGGTACTTGATAGCTCAATTACTGCCTTCACCGAGTACCCTTTACTATTATAATATCATTGGTAGAATTTTTTGTCATTTCTTGATTTCAAATATTTGTAAATATCATTCTATATATTTTACAGTATATTGAACATAAACACAGTTTGATTTCTAGAATTTTGTCGACGAATCTATATACAAATAACTTCATTTCTACTTCATTTAAAAGTTGATCCAACATTATTCTCAGTATTTTTGTTTGACTGTAATATATCATAAGATGGCGGCCTAATTAATTATAGCGGACGGATGAGAATGGCTCAAGTAGGAGCAGATCTACAGTTCTTCATCCAGCCTAACGTGCACACTCCACCTCAGAACGGTGCTAGCCAAAGCTCAAACTTGGGAACCATGAGAGTTATCGGTGACAACCATACGACCAATGGCTACGGACCATCGCATACGTTGCCTGCTAATTACCAACCATCGACTCTGTTACCTTGGACGCCACCCAGTGAAGAGTCTAGTCCCGTGAAAGTAGTTGGGCATCAAGATCCTACGAGTGGTAATGTTCCCTCAGCGGGCATGGGGGGCAGTCCTGGTCAGCAACACCTCATGACCAACAGTTTGTTGAGTCAACTGCAAACAACTTCAGCTAATCCACAACAGCAAATTAACATTAATTCCCAGCAGCAGCAGCAGCACAGTCAAATGACTCAGCAGCAACAAAGTCAAATGACTCAGCAGCAACAAATTCAAATGACTCAGCAACATCAGATTATACAGCAGCAGCAAAGTCAAATAAATGAGCAGCGTCAAAGTCCAACAACTCCACAGCAACGGCAAAGTCCGGCGACTCCGCAACAGCGAAGTCCTATGCATCAGCAACAGCTAAGTGCGTTGCAGCAGCAGCAGCAGCAACAAAATGCCATGCATCAGCAGCAGCAAAGTCCCATGCTTGATCAGCAACAAAGTGCCATTCATCAACAGCAGCGAAGTCCTATGCATCAGCAGCAGCAGAGTGCCATGCATCATCAGCAGCGAAGTCCTATACATCAGCAGCAGCAACAAAGTGCCATGCAGCAGCAGCAGCAACAAAGTGCCATGCAGCAGCAGCAGCAGCAACGTGCCATGCATCAGCTGCAGCGAAGTCCTATGCATCAGCAGCATCAACAAAGTGCCATGCATCATCATCATCAAAGTCCCATGTACCAGCAGCAGCAGCAGCAACGTATGTCAATGATTCAGCTGCAGCAAGCTCTACTGAATGAGCAGAACGGCAGCTCGAATGTGTATGGCATGATGCCGCAAGGATATCCTCTTCACGCTACCTACACAGCGGGCAACTACTGCTATCCTTCTATCACTTCTTCCGGCCTCGCGAAAAGAGATAGTCAATTCAGCTTTGATTTCATCAATTCGCAGAGCTACAACAATAACAGCTCGACGCATCGTCCAGCTCCGGGTAAAGCTCCTAACCCTTACGTAGTAAATAAGAGACAAGCTCGATTGAATCAGAAGTCACCGTACTACAATTCCTACATGGACCAAACGTCTCCTGCTGGATATGTAAGTTATAACATCTATGTTTTCATTGACGTTTTAAAGTCATGCTGTTTTTTTTTATATTGGAACCTTACGCTTTGGTAGGATGCTCCGTAATTGATTTCATATAATACCTATTCTGTTTGCTCCATGTTTATCATGATGGTCAGCAATACTGTACAGGTTGATTAGTACAGTACTGATACAGGTTGTCCAGCATTGGCACAGTGTGAAGTAGCACTGGTACAGTGAAGTAACACTGGTATTGTAACGTTCCATCGCTTTCATGCCATATTGAACACGTTACGGTCTATCGATGTTTGTCCGCTGGCGTTCACGCGTTTAATGAATTTCGTTACTTGGTTTGAAACACCCACACGAAAAATCACGAAGTTAGTATCAATTAGTTTCTTGTAATTAAAAATATAATTCCATGCATTATATGAAATGAATTAGCGGAACGCGCATATGTAGGGCATTTTCTCCGTTTGTATTCTGAGTATAAAAGCTATTATTTTATATAGAGTTAAGCGACGGATGAAGTATTGGCAAAGAAGCGATCTTAGAGTTATCATCACTGGGCAGACTGTGATCAGGAAGGGGGCAAGGTTGGTATGCTAATGGCAGCTTCGAGGAATTGTTTGATGCGGGCACCACCTGCGACCTGCCACGGTTCCATATAGTATATCTTGCGGTGTGGTCGCTCGCAACTAGACTTTACTTGCAGGGGCTCCTACATATATAGATACGTATATTTTTATTAATGTCACTTAATCGATTATTTACCATCTACCTGCGACCTGCCACGGTTCCATATAGTATAGCTTGCGGTGTGGTCGCTCTCAACTATATTTTACTTGCAGTGGCTTTTCCATATATTGATACGTATATTTAAATTAATGTTGTCACTCAATCGATTATTTACCATCTACCTGTGACCTGCCACGGTTCCATATAGTATAACGGTTCCATATAGTATAGCTTGCGGTGTGGTCGCTCTCAACTATATTTTACTTGCAGTGGCTTTTCCATGTATTGATACGTATATTTAAATTAATGTTGTCACTCAATCGATTATTTACCATCTACCTGTGACCTGCCACGGTTCCATATAGTATATCTTGCGGTGTGGTCGCTCTCAACTAGACTTTACTTGCAGTGGCTCCTCCATATATTGATACGTATATTTGTTACGTAGTAATTCCAGCGATTATTGACCGGTTACTGCATTATTTACGTTGATGTGGTTACACCTGAATGGAATATTACTTACCCCTTTTGGTGATCTTCGCCGCGATATCTAAGGCCTCGTATGTTGTTGATATTTTTGGTATAATTTTGAGTAAGAAAATGAATCATTGTATACAAGTTCTCCAACTGCTCATAAATTAAAACTTCATTAATGGTACAGCATTACATTCGAACAACGTGGGCCACGAGCTGGTTTTTGCGGACGGGCTTTATTTAGGACTTTAAATGCACAAAATTTTGTCCTAACTAATGCACAAGCGGCGCGTGTAGGAGTAATCCGAACGCTTTTTAGTCTCAGCGGCAGAATGACTTACCTAAATTCATTAATTTCTTTGCACATATTAACACGTTTTCTTTCAGATTACGTACAAATATCAATGACCATTACGATTTGTACTTGATTGGCTTAGGCCGCGTAACATCTCATCGTCTTGAGTGGGATTACTGACACGAGTTTGAATTGTCAGATTACGTACAAATATCAATGACCATTACGATTTGTTCTTGATTGGCTTAGGCCGCGTAACATCTCATAGTCTTTAGTGGGATTACTGACGCTAGTTTGAATTGTTGCTGTGCAGTACGGGAGCGACGACTTCACGCAGGACTCCCCTCGCTACCCCTCACCTAAGTCCAGCGCCGGGGTCTACGCTGATGGCTACTATGGTCTTGGTGGGTACACTGATGAATATATATGGGTCATACTGTCTAGACCATACTGCCAGTATGGTCTTGGTGGGTACACTGATGAAATGTATATGAGTCATACTGTCTAGACCATACTGCTAGTATGGTCTTGGTGGGTACACTGATGAATATATATACGAGTCATACTGTCTAGACTCTAGACCATACTGTATGGTCTGGTGAGTGATGGTGGTGCAAGTGTGGTCTTGGTGGGTACACTGATGAAATGTATACGAGTTATACTGTCAAGACCATACTGCCAGTATGGTCTTGGTGAGTACACTGATGGAATATATATGGGTCATACTGTCTAGACCATACTGCTACTATGGTCTGGTGAGTGATGTCGTGTGTGTGTGTGTCGTGTAAGAGACTCGTGTGTCGTGTAAGAGACTCGTGTGTGTCGTGTAAGAGACTCGTGTGTCGTGTAAGAGACTCGTGTGTGTCGTGTAAGAGACTCGTGTGTCGTGTAAGAGACTCGTGTGTGTCGTGTAAGAGACTCGTGTGTGTCGTGTAAGAGTGTCGTGTGTCGTGTAAGAGACTCAGTGTGTCGCGTAAGAGTGTCGTGTAAGAGACTCGGTGTGTCGTGTAAGAGACTCGGTGTGTCGTGTAAGAGACTCGTGTGTGTCGTGTAAGGGTGTCGTGTAAGAGTGTCGTGTGTGTCGTGTAAGAGACTCGTGTGTCGTGTAGTAGTGTCGTGTGTGGCAACTAAAAGCTGCCTTGTTTCAGAAGGTGGCAGCAATGGTGGAGGTGACCTGTGGAACACGGCAGGGGCGGCGTCCGTGGCGGGGGGCGCTGGGCCCTACCACTACCCTGGCATGATGACCGCCCCCCACCAGTACAGCAGCATCTCCCACATACCTGCTGACCACATGGTGGGTAGCTCCTCTGCTCACGTCGTGCTGTGTCTTGCTGACACTTGCTGTGTCGTGCTGACTTTTGCTGTGTTGTGCTGACACTTGCTGTGTCGTGCTGACACTTGCTGTGTCGTGCTGACACTTGCTGCTGTGTGCTGTGTCATGCTGACACTTGCTGGTGTGTGCTGTGTCATGCTGACACTTGCTGGTGTGTGCTGTGTCGTGCTGACACTTGCTGGTATGTGCTGTGTCGTGCTGACACTTGCTGTGTCGTGCTGACACTTGCTGTGTCGTGCTGACACTTGCTGTATCGTGCTGACACTTGCTGGTATGTGTTTGTGCTGTGTCGTGCTGACACTTGCTGGTGTGTGCTGTGTCGTGCTGAAACTTGCTGGTGTGTGCTGTGTCGTGCTGACACTTGCTGGTATGTGCTGTGTCGTGCTGACACTTGCTGGTATGTGCTGTGTCGTGCTGACACTTGCTGGTATGTGCTGTGTCGTGCTGACACTTGCTGATGTGTGCTGTGTCTGTCCTGAGTAGTGCCGTGCTCTGTGAAGTGTACTGTACGAGTTATAAGAATAAGTGTGCAGTGTGCTGTCCTACATGCGCACACTAGTGTGTACCACATGCATTACGTACCCATGTACATTATGTACCCATCTGCATTACGTACCCACATGCATTATGTACCCATCTGCATTACGTACCCATGTGCATTTTGTGTACATGAACACATCGAGGCTCGTGTCGGTGTCGAAACATGTTAGGAACACGTTGACTATTTGAGCCGACTATTTCAAGTCTGCTCAAGCAGACTATATTGAACAGTCGTTGAGAAGACTCTTTCAAGTCTGCTCAAGCAGACTATTGAGCAGTCGTTGGGCAGACTAGTATTTCAAGTCGGCTGAAGTAAAGCATTTCATTCCACTGCTAAAATTTGCCTTTCTCATTCCTCAGTTTCATTTTGCTGTAGCTCAGACTGGCATATGAAAAACATGAATTATCAGATATCGTATATCTTTTGTTGTAGCTAGTAATTTGTAGTAGAATTGTAATTGTATTGATATTAGTCATCTGTCTACTGCATCGGTACAAGCGACTTTATTGTATGTTGTTCAATGTGCTGTCTCTCTTTCATCTTAATCTCCTATGTGGGCAATTTTCGGCTACTTTTTCATCTTCACAATGATCTATCTCCTTATCATCCAATCATTTCATGTACCGCGATCTGTCTACTTATCATTTAATCATTTCATGTTATCATTACTCGTTTCGACCGACCTTCAAATTTTGGCGTCGCCTGTGAGAAAATCCTGATATCAAGGATCTTGCTTTACGAACTTGAACTGATCCTCAGAAATCATAACAAGAAGTGAACTCAAGAACTAATTTCAAGAGCTGATCTCAAGAATTATTTCAAGAACTAAACCGTAGAACTGAAATTTTTGAACTAACTGTTCGCAGTCACGCAAGGACTCACGTAACTTATGCCACGTCCCCGTGTCGTATTTTATACCGATTGTTAACTGACTTATCGGGAGATAAGAGTTCAGTTATGGAGTTATGGCTAAAGTCAATCACTTAGAACCACCTTTTATATAGGACATTCTTGCGCAATGCTAAAGACCCACTAGAATAAAAGTCCCTAGTAAAATGTTTGTGGTGTCTTATGGCTAAAGTCATTCACTTAGTACCACCTTTTCTATGGGACATTCTTGCGAGATGTTGAAGACCCACTAGAATTAAAGCCCCTAGAGAAAATGTTTGTGGTGTCTTATGGCTATAGTCATTTACTTAGAACCACCTCTTCTATGGGACATTCATGCGCAATGCTGAAAACCCACTAGAATAAAAGTCCATAGAGAAAATGTTTGTGGTGTCTTATGGCTAAGGCTGCTAGTTATGCCAGCCTCTGATAACACGCCACTCCTGTGTCCTGGTCAGACCTACGAACACTTGGGTGGTGCAGGTCTACCGCCCATGTCATCGTTCAGAGGGGGGAGTGGTGCGAGTGGCACTACAGGGGCAACGGGCATCGTCGTACCCACTTCATCTCCGCACTACACACACAGTCCATTGCCCCACACGCACCCTCCTCCGCCCACCACCACTCCTCATGCTTCTGATAACTTGGGCAAAACTTTGGTCTCGGTAAGGCCTCAGTTCAACCCATAGTTTTTCTTCTTCTTTTCCCCATTTTTCTTCTTTTCCCCATTTTTCTTTCCCCATGTTTCTTCTTCTTTTTCCCATTTTTCTTCTTCTTTTCCCCATTTTTCTTCGTCTTTTCCTCCTCATGCTTCTGATAATTTGGGCAAAACTTTGGTCTCGGTAAGGCCTCAGTCCAACCCATAGTTTTTCTTCTTCTTTTCCCCATTTTCTTCCTCTTTATTTGTAGTAACTAGAGCAACTTTTAGATTAACATTAGTAAACGAGATATCAGGTATTTGAAAATTTAGATCTACTTGAGTTTTCATGGTAAAAGGGTTCTTTTGTTTCAATCTATTCGTCGGAAAATTGAACGCTAGTGCGACCTTAGCTCCTGAATTATTCTTGCAAACTTTTTGCCACAGGAATCATTAGATTTTTAGGTTGTCCTTAAGAAATATATTCCGTTACTGTGCTATCTAACCGTTGTTCATATTATTTCATGTCAATTCTCTTCTTCTGAATCGGAAAAATCTTGTGAAGTCCAAACTTTCGATCGTTTATTTATCCGAGACTATGTACAGATCCCTACGAGCTGTAATGATCAGACTGGGCTTGAACTGTCAAAAAACGCGTTCATATCTCCTAGTAATCAGTTATTTACCTTACTTACAAGGTTAGATAGCATCAGTACTAGTAGATTTTAGTTACATTTTTATTCCTTCATCCTGGCGTTATTGTCAATGTTCCTAATAATTGGCAATAGTCGGTAGTTTAATGATAATTGTAATTGTATAAAATTTTAGTATTACCGATAATTGTAGTGTTTTATCAATGGTTCCAAGTGACAACATATGCAGTAATGGTAGTAAGTAGTAACTAGTAATGCCAGGTTTGATAATTGAGTGGTTTAATAATTGTAGTGATATAATAATTGTAGTGATTTAATAATTCTTTCATCAAGATCATTGTAGTGGTTTATCAATGCTTCCAAGTGACAACATATGCAGTAATGGTAGTAACTAGTGACGTAACTAGTAATGGTAGTAACTAGTGACGCCAGACACCTGACATGAGGTAATGGTGCCCAGATATACCCGAGCGCTGAGAGCGGTCCCCAAGCTACGGGTGTTGGTGGGTACACAAGTAACCCCGGCACCCCCGTGTCTGCCACCTCCCCACCCCCCCTGAGCAACACCAGCGTGGGGGCAGCTCAATCCTCGTGGCCTGTACCCCACACACCCACGTCCCCCGCCTACGACAGATCCCATCATCTTGTGAGTTACTCAGAGCTCGTCCTGGTCTCTGGAACTAGGGGGTTCTAGTCGCTAGTCTTAGCCTAGCTTCTAGTCCCGACCAAGGAGTTACTCAGAGCTCATCCTGGTCTAGAACTAGGGGGTTCTTTCTAGTCGCTAGTCTTAGCCTAGCTTCTAGTCCCGACCAAAGAGTTACTCAGAGCTCGTCCTGGTCTAGAACTAGGGGCTCTAGTCGCTAGTCTTAGCCTAGCTTCTAGTCCCGACCAAAGAGTTACTCAGAGCTCGTCCTGGTCTAGAACTAGGGGGTCCTTCTAGTCGCTAGTCTCAATCTAGCTTCTCCTAGCCCCGACCAAGGTTCCAACCAAGGAGTCAGTCATAGCTTCTTCTAGTCCGAAACTAGATCCTTCTAGTCGCTAGTCTCAACCTAGCTTCTCCTAGCCCCGACCAAGGAGTCACTCATAGCTTCTACAGGTCTGAAACTAGGGGGTTCTAGTCGCTAGTCTCAACCTAGCTTCTAGTCCCAACCAAGGTCCCGACCAAGGAGTCACTCATAGCTCCTCCTAGTCACTGAAACTAGGTCCTTCTAGTCGCTAGTCAAAGACTGGCTTCTCCTAGCCCCGACCAAGGCGTCACTCATAGCTTCTCCTAGTCTAGAACTAAGTCCTAGTCTCAAATTAGGTCCCCCAACTGTAAATAGTTTGTTATTACGATCATGCAGACCTTCGCTCTTCAACAAGACCCAGTAACTCGACCCTTATTTCGAGCCACAAGACAGCGCTACCATCTTCTTGATCTCAGCGGGGCTCTGGAAGATGACTCGCTCGGCGTCGTGTCAAAACCTTTATTAACTCGGCCTGAAATTATTTATACTAAACCTAAACCTTTATTGAATTTGTACGAATTGAAGCAAAATACAGCCTTCTTCGCAGTCACGAACTTGGTCTTGACAATAAATAATGATGCTTAACGTTAATAAGACTATACATTAAGCATAAAAATAGTAACTGATGAAAGCCTTGCCTTGGTTTGATGGCAGCGCATGCCTGAGGAGAAACTGGAGTCCGCAATCGACTACCTCAGGGACCAGATCATGGAGGTAACCTGCCGGCCTTCGTGAAGGCTGAAGTTCTTTACTAATGGAATGTTCCCCTGAAGGCTGATGTTCTTTACTAACGAATTGTTCCCCTGAAGGCTGATGTTCTTACTAACGAAATGTTCCCGTGAAGGCTGATGTTCTTACTAACGAAATGTTCCCGTGAAGGCTGATGTTCTTACTAACGAAATGTTCCAGTGAAGTGCAGAAGTTCAACGCTGAATTAACCTCTTATCAATCTCTCAGCAACATCTCAATCCAGATTGCATTAATAAATTGAATGAATTTGATGGCCCTAGCCGCGTCAAGAATTCTTCGCTCGTAGTCGTGGCGGAGGCCTGGGCGCTGTTACATGCGAAGCTCAACACGCATGTTCCTTGAGTTGACTTCCTTGCCCCACTTCTTATTACCTTCTGCCTATTATCTTTTTCCTACCTTCTACTAACTACCTCCTTCCTACCTCCTTCATCCTACCTCCTCCATCCTACCTCCTTCATCCTACCCCCTTCTTCGTACCTACTTCTTGCTACCCCCTTCTTCCGACCTCATCCTCCTTCCTACCCCCTTCTTCCTACCTCATACTCCTTCCTACCTCCTTCTTCCTACCTCCTCCTTTTAATTACCTTAAGTAATTCCTACTTTCTGCCCTTAATTCATATCTGTGCAAGTAGCCCAAAGCCGTGGTATTTCTGGCCTCTAAACATCCTCTCCATGTATCAGTTCACGTATCCTCTCACTAAGCATCCTTCCCATGCATCATTTCAATAACGCAATGCTTGGTAACGTGGCGATGTTATCTATGAAAAGCCTCGTTGGTACGTAGCAAGGTTAGAGGACCATTGGGCACCTGTAGCTTCAACGCCGGTTCTTGCTTTATCTACCCTCTTGCTTTATATTAGTTCTTGCTATTAGTGCTCTAACTTGCATCAGTAAATTTGCTGCATGAACTGGTGTACAGGTAGCACCTGCCAAATGGACGGTGTATAGCACCTGTCAAGTGGACAGTAAACACCAGCGGGCAGTTGTACAGGCCTGATGGCCGGGACTCATCATAGCGTAAATAATAAATAAAGTTGTACAGGTTGCTTGTACGTTGATCTTGGTTGTCATTTTCCCGGGGAGCCTTTACCGGATATTGACCTGTGCAGGATAGTGTATTTATTATAACCTATACTAAGCATGTAGAATTGTACATCTTGCCTCATAGAACATGAATGTAATTTAGCTGCATTACTAGAGCAGGGGAGCAGCAAAATTTATTTATTATAACCTATAGTAAGCATGTATAATTGTACATCTTGCCTCATAGAATATGAATGTAATTTAGCTGCATTACTAGAGCAGGGGAGCAGCAAAATTTATTTATTATAACCTATACTAAGCATGTACAATTGTACATCTTGCCTCATAGAATATGAATGTAATTTAGCTGCATTACTAGAGCAGGGGAGCAGCAAAATTTATTTATTATAACCTATACTAAGCATGTACAATTGTACATCTTGCCTCATAGAATATGAATGTAATTTAGCTGCNCCTGCCCACCCAGGACCTTAGGTCCATCCCTCCTACAGGTGAGACGTCCTGCCCACCCAGGACCTTAGGTCCATCCCTCCTACAGGTGAGACGCTCTGCCCACCCAGGACCTTAGGTCCATCCCTCCTACAGGTGAGACGTCCTGAACCAAGTACAGTTATCTTACATGTGCTAGTACCCTTTCCCGCACTGCACATTTGCATATGCAAAGATGTATATTAATACAAAAATTTTATTACGTTACCTACTCGCACTTTCTTGCTTTTTCGAGGCACGAGAAGAATATGTGACTTTGTGTAGATCTTCATCATATTGAATGAATGTATTTCAATACATATTTATTGAAATGTTTGCTGTGTATTGCAGGTTTAGATATGAAAGACAAAGACTTGAAAGGAGACGACATGGCTGCGGGGGGCGCGGTGGGCATGCTGGGCACCACCGGGGCAGTGTCAGCCAAAGCTGGCAAGCGCAGCAGGCGGTAAGAATACGTGCCCCAAGTGGGGGTATAATTTTATTTATCCTAAACACTATTGACCTTATAATTTCTGCGATACCCACTTACGATTATAATTCCATCCGTCTTAAGCGCTGTATTGACATTACAATTTCTGCAAGTGCTTCATTTTCGTTATTTTTTAATGCGGACCTTGATATGATCATGATTGAAGTTTCTTGGTCAGTTGCATATCTAGCATGGTTTGCTCTTATTTTTTTATTTTTTATTTTTTTGTGTGTAATATACTTTACAACTAGACTGTTGCAGCTTCTCATCCCAGACTGTTATAACTGTTGCACCTGTTACTTTTCAGCCCAGACTCCGTTAGGCTTTTTGCTCTGTTACGCATCACCACTCGAGTTTAAGCTTTGAATGGGACTGTTATCCAGCGATTATTTACGGACATATAGGTCCGTTTTCATTTAATCTTATGTTTTGCTTCCAAAAATCGGTAACCTCGCTGACTTTTATCTCATAAGTATTCTTCAGTTGCTTATGCCCAGTCCACTAACTTCTAAGAATCCTTCTGTAACACGTATTTCTGCGTGTGATTGGAAGGTTTGCTGATCTGCAGTGTGATGGCGTTTTTTTATTTTTTATTTTGTGTTGGGTAGGATGGCAAACAGTTGTTACCCGATGAAAGTTATGCTTCATCAGGAGCTACAAGAGGCATCATTGTACAAATCATTTTATCATCCTTGAACAAACAATGATGTTCGGAGTCTCATTATATTTTCAGTCTCATGACATTGAGTGGAATTTGTTTTGTGTTGTTGGTTGTGATATTTTGTGGTTGCACGGGAGGACTGATCAGGTTGCGGATCACAATAGAAGTTGTGGTTGTGGATCAAAAAGGAGGTTGTGGTTGCATATAACAAGGAAGTTTGTTGTTGGGTATAGCAAGGAAGGTTGTTGTTGCGTATAGCAAAGATGGTTGTTGTTGCATATAGCAAAGAAGGTTGTTGTTGGGTATAGCAAAGAAGGTTGTTGTTGCGTATAGCAAAGAAGGTTGTGGTTGCGTATAGCAAAGAAGGTTGTTAGAATTAAAGACCTGTTCCAATGTCCAGCTTGAGAATTAAAGACCTGTTCCAATGTCCAGCTTGAGAATTAAAGACCTGTTCCAATGTCCAGCTTCAAGACTATGGAGCGAGGAGGAGGCAACATGGTGACCGCAACAGCTGCTCCAGGACCTGCAGCCATGGCCGGCCTGCACCTCGGAAGGTGAATTTTTATTTCTTAGCTGCACTCTACGTCTGTTTTGATCTGGTCTTTTCTGTGTCGGTCTAGTTTTGGCAGTGTTGATCCGGTCTGGTCTGTTCAGTTTCGGTCTGGTTTGGGCAGGGCTGATCCGGTCTGGTCTGTTCAGTGTCGGTCTGGTTTGGGCAGTGTTGATCCGGTCTGGTCTGTTCAGTGTCGGTCTGGTTTGGGCAGTGTTGATCCGGTCTGGTCTGTTCAGTGTCGGTCTGGTTTGGGCAGTGTTGATCCGGTCTGGTCTGTTCATTGTCGGTCTGGTTTGGGCAGTGTTGATCCGGTCTGGTCTGTCCAAGGCAGTGTTGATCCGGTCTGGTCTGGTCAGTGTCAATCTAATGTGGTCTGGCCAGTGTTGGTATGGTGTCGTCTGGTCAGTGTCAGTCTAACGTGGTCTGGTCAGCGTCGTTAAGGTCAGTGTCAGTGTGGTCATTTCAGCGTTGAATGTTACTTGCTCTGAAGCCTGTTATGGGCATTGCAGCTTCAGTGTTTTATTAAGTAGAATGTTTGTCGCGTCTGGAATAGTTTGATATTAAATGGGAGTTGTCTAATAAATTCAAAAAGCCTTAGGCGAATTCTAGGGCGATATGCCATAGAGCCCGTTGATTTCATGGTCCGATCATGACGCATTCTAGTTCACATTTCGGCGCAAGTTTTTATTGTTTTTTCGAACTAGGATAATTTGGCGTTCCACTTCTTGGATTTGTTGCGACCTACATCGTCTTAATTGTGTGTTCTTGGAGTTGCTATATATTGCCGCGAAAGATATCAACGTTATTGTGCCTATGATGTGGTGAAGAATGTTGTGCTTATGATGTAGTGAGAAATGTAGCGCGATTGTGAAGTGGGTTTTTAGCTCGATTGTGACGCATGTTCTTAATCCGATTGTGACGTGGGTTCTTAGCTCGATTGTGACGTGCGTTCTTAGCTCAATTTTTAACCGACCAAAGTTTGAGATGAAGCTTGTAAACTCGCTGCCTCCCTCTTACACCTATGTCCTCTCGACGGTAAATCATTCGAATGCATTATTCCATCCATTTTTTGTCAGACGAACTGACTTTTTACGATAAATGAGTTACGTTGCAACGCATGAAATAAAATTAGTTTATGCGTATCCCAGTGCCCACTGCGTATGGAATCATATCTGCAACATTTGTGCCTAGCAATTTGTATGGGATCTAATATGCAACATTTGTGCATGTCAATTGTATGGAATCTTATCGGCAATTTGTTGCTGTTTTCACCCAAGTCCTGAAGGAGAGTTGATGCGATTCACCAGCCTTGTCGTTTTTGTTAGGCCTTCCTCTACTTACGGTAACTCCAGATACCAGGCCTTTAGATTTGAATAGCATTAGTGACTACATTTATACGTAGGCCAAAATGTAACAATGAAGAGGCTACAGGTTTAGGTTTTGCCCTCGTGCATGAGGGGCAGTTCACGGATACATTACAGGTACAGTTAACGGATACATAACAGTTGCATTTTACGGATACATAACAGGTACAGTTTACGGATACATTACGCGTCGTCCGCGCTATTCGTACCTGCCTGGTACCAGGAGTAACCGTCAGTAGACTAAAGGTTAACTGTGCCTCTAGTATGAAGGGAAGGTAAAACCTAACCATGCAGCCTAGGGAACGCGTTAGTTTACCTAGTCCTCTATTACGGCACCGCCTAACCTTGCAGCCTAGTGAACGTGTTAGTTTACCTAGTCCTCTATTACGGCACGGCCTAACCTTGCAGCCTAGTGAACGTGTTAGTTTACCTAGTCTACTATTACGATACTGCCTGACCATGCAGCCTAGTTAACGAGTTAGTTTACCAAGTCCTATAGTAAGGTATAACTTTAGTTTACCTAGTCCTCTATCACGGCACTGCCTGACCATGCAGCCTAGTTTACGTGTTAGTTTACCAATACCTATAGTAAGGTATAGCATGAACTTTCATCCTGAATGCGTGTACTGATCGCTTATTTCGTTCACAGTGAGGAAGAAGACGAGTCTTTGGATCCTGAGACGAAAGCTGTGCGGGAGAAGGAGCGTCGCCATGCCAACAACGCGCGAGAGCGGTAAGCAGCTTCTATAATAATATTATTTAATGATAAATAGAAATAATCTAATAATGTTCTCTAATAATAAATAGAAATTATCTAATAATATTCTTTAATAATAAATAGAAATGATCTAATAATAGTCTTTAATAATAAATAGAAATAATCCAAACAGGACAGAAAATATTCACGTTCAAAAATTATTATAACACTACTCGAAACGTTATAAATGCTTTATTCTATTTAATGGATTCGTTTACTTAAGTTTACATTATAGGATCAAGCATTTTAAAGCTAACTTAGCTTTTAAATTATTTTTTGTAGTTTGCAGCTCATGGAAGTTCGCCATCTTGTGGTCTTGGAATAACTAGATCTAATAGTTAACTATTATATTTAAATAATATTTAACTAGAACTTTGAGCTAATATTAGTTACCATTTTGAGCTATGCTCAACCGGTACCTAGTCATCTACCTCATTTTAGGGTCAATATTATGAATATTCCTGCAGCCCGAAATTGTGTTGTCATAAACTAAATTACTCGAAATCACATCGTTCAACATTGAAATGAACTGGCGTGTAAGATTGATAACTAATGTGTTAGATACTCTAACGGTTTTAAGACATCGATCTTTTTCCAATAGATTCTATGATAGACACCATTTTACCTTAGTATATGAGAACATATTGGCAATATTAAGGTAGAAGAACACGTTAATCACAAGTGTGTACGTGCGGACGGAAGGCGAAGTAAATCTTGACATGTTTTTAACACGCTGTGTAGTATATGATAACATTCTGGCAGTATTTATTTAGAAGAATATTTTTATAAAATGTGTGGACGTACGGGCGGAAGGCGCAGTAAACCTTGACATATTTTTAACACGCTGTGCCATTTCTCCTCTTCGGCCGTGGGTTGCGGTCAACAGTATAAGAGTTCGTGACATTAACAGCGCGTTTGAAGAGCTCGGGCGCTTGGTAACTCTCTATATCGATAATGCGGATAAGACGCCCACTAAGCTAGGCATTCTTCAGAGCGCGGTCGCTGTAATCCATGCCTTGGAGAAGAAAGTTCAAGGTAAGATTCTCTGATAGCTTTTATGTTCGCACTTGTTATACACTCTCGGCTTGTGCAACGATTGCTTATGACGACCGAGGTGTGGAATGGAAGGGAATGGTGGTCTGTAAACGGACTGTTCCACCAGACAGTCGATTGTTCCGCCAGACCTGCGACTGTTCCACCAGACCTGCGACTGTTCCACCAGACCTGTGACTGTTCCACCAGACATGCGAATGTTCCACCAGACCTGTGACTGTTCCACCAGACCTGCGACTGTTCCACCAGACCTGCGACTGTTCCACCAGACATGCGAATGTTCCACCAGACCTGTGACTGTTCCACCAGACCTGCGACTGTTCCACCAGACCTGCGACTGTTCCACCAGACCTGTGACTGTTCCACCAGACCTGCGACTGTTCCACCAGACCTGCGACTGTTCCACCAGACCTGCGACTGTTCCACCAGACCTGTGACTGTTCCACCAGACATGCGAATGTTCCACCAGACCTGTAACTGTTCCACCAGACCTGCGACTGTTCCATCAGACCTGTGACTGTTCCACCTGACCTGTGACTGTTCCACCAGACCTGTGACTGTTCCACCAGACCTGTGACTGTTCCACCAGACCTGCGACTGTTCCACTAGACCTGTAACTGCTTCACCAGACCTGTGACTGTTCCACCAAACCTGTAACTGTCCCACCAGACCTGTGACTGTTCCACCAGACCTGCAACTGTTCCACCAGACCTGCGACTGTTCCACCAGACCTGCGACTGTTCCACCAGACCTGTAACTGTTCCACCAGTTAGACCAAGCCTCGTCGCTATCAAGCCATCAGTTGCACAAGCTGAGAGTGTGACGGTAAGGTTATCGTTATCAGTAGTTAGTGAGTAGCTTATGATGAGTAATATGAGTAACATGTTCGCCTCTCCTTCTCTGCAGAATTCGAATCCGCGACATTAACGACGCACTTAAGGAACTTGGTCGGATGTGCATGACGCATCTCAAGTCTGACAAACCGCAAACTAAACTAGGCATTTTAAACATGGCAGTTGACGTTATAATGTCGCTGGAACAGCAAGTTCGAGGTAAATGCCTCTAGAAACGCTTACAGTATTCGTCCTCTACTTCTTTACCGCTGTTTTTTGCACGAGCATTAAACTCTTCTCTCTACTCCTGCACCTCCACGTTATTGTTCTGTCCTGCCGAGGCGTCTCTTGCGTTATAGGTTTAGTTCATTATGTGCAATGAATGTAAAGTTTAACTCCATTTTCGTACAATTCAATTCAATTTTATAGGTTGAGTTCGTTATCTGCAACGTAAGGAAAGTTTTTCCTTTTTTTTGCTCCGTTTTCGTACAATTCAATTTAATTTTATAGGTTTAGTTCGTTATGTGCAACGAATGTAACGTTTTCCTTGTTTTTACTCCGTTTTCGTACCATTCAATTCAATTTTATAGGTTTAGTTCTTTGTCTGCATTGAATGTAAAGTTTTCCTTGTTTGTACTCCGTTTTCGTACAATTCGATTAAATTTTATCGTTTCCATAGTTCCTCAAAGCTTTTATAGATCCACTAATTGATCCATGTACATTTGTTATTAGAATTACTGTGTGCCATGAAATGATGAACGTCATCTTTATGTTTGCATACTTGAACAAACCTCAAGCGTCCCTTCATTAAGTTGTCAACTTTTCGACATGAACCGAGTTTATGAAATGCTTCAAAAAACCTCCCCGTATTTTTAAATTTCCATCTGATTCCGTGTTGATTACGCTTAGCGATGCTTGCCTTGTTTACCCTTGCCATGTGACATTCTTTTTCAACTCTGAAATTTTGTTCAAATTAGTTTTGCGTTGGTTGTGTTGGTTAAAGCTTGATGACCGCTTGCTTGTGCATGTACCACATCGTTGGTGCGTTATAACATTGTAATAGTACAACCATTATAACGTTATACATTATAACGTGCGTTAACGCTTATACGTGACTCACTCTCGCTCACATACTCACCTCTTGCTATGTTACTTCACTAACTTAACACTAATCATCTTCTATTCATTACATTTTCCCTCTTGCCACCAATACTGAAGTGTTCCAGTCACAAGCGTCGGCCAGTAAATGTTTTTTTACAACGTGAAATAATGTCTCTGAACAGAAAATATCTCTGAATAAGTTTTCATTTATGTTTATACATTATTACATTCATTTATACGAGCCTATAAAAATGTTGAAAGTATGAAAGCGATTTGTTGACTTGAAGCAAACTTTGTTACGGCCGTTCCTTCTATTTTGTTTGATATTAACTCTCGTGTATATAACTAGCATAGTAAATAACTATATTTCATTCTAAGCTGACGTGGGCTCGGCAGTTTCTTGGATTCCACTATCTCATTTATTCTGCTTAACACCTTCACATCATGGCGTCTAATGGTTAATGAGCGTTATTATTAACCCGTCTGCATGATGCTAACAATAAATATATGTTTGTTTTGTTATGACTATGAAGTTTGCCACTAACAGCGTAACAGTAAGAGTATTGTGCATTATTGTAGGCTATTTTACTATTGTAACCTTTAATTATCTCCTTGAATGAACTTATATAGAACTTGAGAAATTATAGCCTTCAGCCTCACTCGAATCAAAATATCTAGGATAGTCATTCTATAAATATTGTATGATGATATTACCCCAGAATATTAGATTAGTATTCACTTCCGATGAACGAAAATTTAAAATTTGCCGTTTCAATTATCACCCACAATTATCATAAATAGGCATTATGGCCTATGAGGTCAAGTTAATTTTTTTTTCATATACATATTCCGTGACCAGTGGCCATACTTTCAAAACTCGCTAAGTGAACGTAAGTACTTACGCTCTATTTTCTTGTCTATGATTGGTAGATTTTGCTTGAAAGGCCGTCAATGATTGGCTGATGAACTTACGATCTCTTAACTTTTTTTTGAAAGTATTGGCCCAGGGCCCTATATAGTTACAAGAGACTGGGGTGCATTGGTGCAGAAAATCAGTTTTCATGAAATTCAAATACAGTTTATTTAATTTAATTTTTTCCGATTTTAAACTTTGATTGAATTTAGTGCACATGATTGAACTGAATTTAGACCACGTACGTAAATGAATAGAACATTAATAAACTTTACGCAAAAATTTGTGTCTGAAATTTATAATTCCCGATTGGATTAGTCATAGGATTTGTTACTTGCAATGTTAATTACTCAGTGTTATTACTAGCAGTAACACGAATTTACTAGCTCTCATTCAGAGAAATAAGTGGAGTTTTATCCAGATAACGATACACTTTTTACCTTTGCTCTAGTCATTTTGACCCAAGTTTTGCCCGGCAAGAGGGCGTATCACTGCTACGCGCAGAAAGAGTGTCACTATTTTTACGACGTAACTCAATCATTTATTCGTACTGCTCGCTTTCAGTTCATATTGAAATTAATTCTTCCTGTGAACCCAGAGCGGAACTTGAACCCTAAAGCGGCGTGTTTGAAGCGGCGGGAAGAGGAGAAAGGGGATGGCTCTAAGTTGACCCCTCCACCGTCTTCCCACATCGGCGTCCCCCATCCTTCTGGTCTACAGCCCCAGCCTTACCCCGCCATGCCTGTGAGCGATGTCTTCATATAACCTTAACTTATCGTCTTGTACATGATAAAGTTCTACTTATCGTCTTGTAGACGATAAACTTCTGCAACCTTAACTTATCGTCTTGTATACGATAAACTTCTGCAAGTAAATCATCTGAGCCTACATCTTGCAATTGTCATCATAACCTTTACGAACCATAATAGCAATCGTCTTATAAAAGCTAAAGCTCTAATCGTCATGTAGAAGCTAAAGCTCTATCAATAAAAATTTGACATGAAAATCCCCTGCAAATAGATCATCTGCACAAAGTTATTTGGTTTCTAGTGAGAAGAAAAGTTGTAGAGGCAAGGATTTCCAACCGATGTTGATTTACTTCTGTCGATGAATATTTAGTCCGTGTATCTGTTAATGAACAAATGCCGATTATTCATCAATCGAAAAGAGTTCACCAATGGACGCAGAAATTGTAATAGTGATCATCAAAAAAAAAATGGAAAAATTGTGGGAATTTTTTATTGTTTTGTTTAATTTTTATTTATTTTTACAAAAACGGCAAGGAGCTTTGCGTAAAAAACGTGCGTTCGATTTTTTTTTGCATCACGTTGCTATACAAGAATTGAATGAATGGAAAATTAATTAATAAAGCACCGCAAATCATTTAAAATGCTTCAGCGTTCACTTGAACTATTGGATTTTAGTAGAATTTTTGGGTTTTTAATCCAGTTGTTCACCGTGAAGTGTGGATTCTGTTGTACTTTTATTGAATTTGCTATAGTGTCGTAAGGATCGTAGCTCGTTAATAACTGTATTCTTAGTAGTGTTTCATTAAAATTTGTGTAGGCTGTAAGCATTTGTGGGTTTTCTATTTGAAAACTTAGATTATTAGCTCAAGTGTTGAGTATAACGCCCCATTTACACAGTCAACTTTTTATTGCTTCGCGCACGTTTGCGAGCGTTTTAATTTAACCGTTGAAAAGCGTTCGAAATAATACAGCAGCGACTTACGTTCATACTGCCTAATCATATCTACGGGCAGGTTCTAGCATTCGACGACGCTCCAAACAAAATTTTCGAAATATGGAATGCCAAGAACTGCAATCGCCTTTTTCAATGAAGTATCGAGAAGCGTATTTTTGAAAATCAATGTTGAATCGATGATTATTTATCCAATCAGAAAAAAAACGCTCATATTTACTCTCGTTGCTTCGTTCGCACTAAACGTGCAAAAAAACTTCAAATCACCAAAGCATTTGCTATGTTCGTATCAGTTGCGGATGCCGAGAAAACTGTCGCGTAAAGAAACCACATGAAGTGCAAGCTAGGGTTCCCACGAACTATAGTAATTTTCGCGAACTTCTGATGTCTTCACTAACTACGCTCGGCTATTGTATACGGGTGGCTAGTGCTAGGTATGCCTCTGGGTGTTTATAAGTTATAGGATTTTGGGCGCATGTGGTAAAATATATTTTTGTTACAGAGCGACGGATCCCATATGGGGCTTAATAACACGGGCCCGCACTGAGGACGAGAGACGCCGCTGCATCAACCGTGCCTCTATCGACACAAGAAAAGCTCTGATTGCGGCAATCAGTGCAATACTTCTATTTCTTAAATGGTCCGTCTTCTAGTATCTATATCATTCATGTGATGCTTGTGATACAGCTGCTGCCATACACATTACCAAGTTGTACTTCAATATGAACACGTTGTGAGACACTCATCAATCATCCATAACATTACCATTACTAAGTACAAAGTGTCATTTCTCGAGCTCCTATGTATTCTGCCGCCTCCAGATTATAGACATCAGACAGTGCATGTTTGAAAATCTCCTCACGCGTTTATACTTCTAATAGAAATTACCTTACGGGAGCAAATTTTTGGTGTTTTCTAGAATTTGAACTTACTGGTACAGAAATATAGTAACGGCTTATTTTGTCTTCAGTCTTGCATAATACCGAGTCATCGAGGCCAAGGTCGCTCAAGATTTGCATAATACCTCACTGTTTTTATCTTAAGAAATTCCTCAGTATAATTAAAAGACCAACTCTTAGAGCTGTTTTTAAGTCTAAATTATCGAGACAATGAGCGCCACGAAGACCCGTTTGCTTCATTTGTTGTTCATGTGAAGGATTTTTTGGTCACTTAGAATTGCCGGGACCGCAAACTTTTTAGTCTCACCACGTGGGACCAAAAACTTCTTAGTCTCACGATTCACTTACGTTTATCCTCAATCTTCTCGTAAGTTCATTAAAATTTAAATTTTTCGATCAGGCATCAACGCAATTGTAGAGTGATCAATATTTTTTATTAAAAAATTCCTGTTGATAATTTCTATTGTTCGACGATGTCAGGTTTTGAAAACTTCCTCTTTTTTATCTCTCTCTCTCTCTAGGCAACCTGAAAGTGAACGTTAGTCTGTGTGGAAAAAACTGTGAACGTAGAACAGTGAACTTTTTTCAGTGAATCAATTTGAGATTAACGAAGTTGCAGCTGCGTCGTAAGCTCGTACCCCTTTCTTGAAATTACAATCTCGAATGACTTTTAAAAATTAACCTAAAATTATCTTTTCCACGGCAGTTGCGATTGCGGCTTCTGAATTTTCTTCTACGAGTGTATAATTTGTATATGTTCTGTATTGTGAAATTCGGATTTAATTGACATTGTTAGGAGATAGTGTGTAGTTGATTATTTTCGTCTTATGTTGAATACATGAATAACAGGCTCCTTATTCATTTCTGTTTTTAGCTCTTTAACTTATTCCCACGTTTCTGATGAAGCGGGATGTGGGTTTGTCATGGTAAATCTTCGCATTAAACTGTCAATACCAAGCTTAGTTATTACACGGCCTGACCTGAGGGTTACTACTGCACTGCAAGTATATGTTTTTTTTACTATATTCTGCGCATAAGTTGTTCAGTTTCCTAATCAAAGTATAGTCGCAATTCGCCTCTACCTCTGAATTGCATGTACATGAATAAATCATAACATGTTGCTCGGAAATTGACGGTTAGACTTTATAGGCAAGAGCTTCTTTTATAGACCTCGGGGAGGTCCTAATGTACCGACTTGCGAAACCTTGTTTTTTTTTTGATACGGACATATCATTGTGCTTATGTTGTACATCAAGAAAGCGTGCAAGCGGCTCTTTGAAATTATGTTGTAGTGATTAGTTTTTTGTTTTTTTACTGTGTTCGCCAATGCCTCGGAAGTTCTTACCTCCTCCACAATCATGACGCGCATGTCGCATCCTCATTATAATGATGACGTAGGCTCCTTGTATCTAAGAATGACTATAAAATTGCTGACATATTTTACCTTGGGGATCATGTGATTATTTGTTCTTGAGGCTCAGCCAAGCTTTGTCTCATTTAAAGAGGAATCTTCAACATCTGGTATTCGAATAACTCAACTTCCGAGTACTTTAGTGTCAAGTGTACGCTATTTCAGTTGATCGAGTGACATAGCTTTTGAAATTGATGTACGTCTTTGACATTTTCTGCTGTGCAGGAAAAAATGTATATTTCTCCACTTGTAGAATTATTGTATTAGCAGAAATGGAAACCTCTTTTGCCTTGGGACTACACTCGCGATGATGAGAGCGTGTGATATTATACTACATGAACAAGACGTTCATTATATGTCAATATTGAAATCATGATTGGTAATTAACGTTAAATATGAGCTATCAAGTATGGTTAAATTCCGACCTAGGTACGTCTCAACAAATTTCCATTTTAAATAACCATACTTCATTCATGATATGATAGCAACTTTTTCCATTTCGTCGGTAGTGTCCATTTCTGGTGAATTTTCAAATATATTTGAGAAATTTTTTAGTGGCTAAATTGCTGAGAACGTCATGAAGAGCGAGAGTTTTGTTTTTTAATTAGTGCTCCATAGCAGTTGTCTTCGATCGTTCGCTATGCACAATTCGTGAAGAGTTAATAGGAGCTTCGAATCACTGAAGGCATTACATTGAGCCACTCCTTTTGTATTAACATTTTTGTCCCAAAGCCGCCGTTATTGTAAAGAATAAATTTCATCATCATACCTAATAGTTGCGGCTGGTGTAAAGGTTTTATGGTGAGAACAAAAGTAATCGATTTTCCGCAGCTTTGTTTTAGACCTAATTTTTTTGCAACGAATTCTGTGGGAGCTCGGAAATGTCGATTTGGATTTCTTGTTTACTCTCTGTGCATTTTTCTTATTTTTTTACTTGTCCTTTTTTCTGTGTTTCTGGACTCGTGATGATGACAGTGAACCTTGAATACCGTAGCTTCTTTGAGATATCAGCACCCGATATTTTATCGTGACCTACACTTTGTATGTTGATTGAAAAATGACAAATAGCTCTAAATTTCGTGATGATATCTCATTTGATGATATTAATATGATTTCATTATTCTACCCGTTCCTGTGTTGAAATAATGGGGCTATTTTCTAACAATCTTAATTAAAGGCTTGCGCCACAGGGTAACTCTGTAGGTTGTAACGTGATTTGGTAATTGTCGATTAGTAACCATCATAACATCATCGATTAGCGATTATCATACGGGTATTAGGGGACTAAGACGTTCTCATGGTGTCCGTGGCAACTATCGCAGAGATTCGATTTTTAATTCAGGAAGAATTTTATCTTTTTTATCTGCTATTTGGAAGACTACGGTTGCCTCGAGCTGGGAAGTTTGTTAATTGTGCAAATTTAGTAAAATTTGTTTGGTTTCTGGTTTAAAAATTGTTTTCAAAATTTCCAGTCTGATGTAAATCCAATTTGCTGCTTCAAAAGTTCAACTTGAGCGTTCTGTTTCAAGTTATCTATGTTACACATACATTTTTAGGACGGAATTTAGTTAGCTGTTTGTGATTATGACGGTGGCAGCTGAACTCTATTTGTAATTTTAATTATGTTTCTGTTTAATGTTTGTTGAGCTGGCCTGTATTTTATCATTTGGGTAACATTCCAGTTATCTTGTTATGTGTTCTCAGTTATCTTCATGCTCCTCAATAAATGATGTTCTCATTTCTCCCGTCGACATGAAACCCCGCAATGAATTAGTCTCCCCTTCCATAGGTGAGATAACTTGTGTTCCGTTCTTAATTAGTCTCCCCTTCCATAGGTGAGATAACTTGTGTTCCGTTCTTAAGAAAAACGTTCTCAGAAACTGTGTACATATTCTTGTGTTGAACTGCGCGTGAGGAACTGTCACGTCACTCCCTATAAGTTATGACTTCTTGTAGCAGCGACAATTCTGCCATGTCATAACTTATTCGATATAAATATCTATAAATAGATATATAAATATATATATATATACATCTGTATAATGTATGTACATTGTTTGTAAGTTTGTTATATCGCAAATAATCCATCCATTGCATGTGTATGCGTCGTCGAGGCAGGCATTCAGTGACGAGTTTTGAGCGTGTATGCACGACCACATGTATGATATTTACATGTGTGAATTGTACGTGTATCAACGGGTTCTCCTAGCACTGAACTAACTAGATTTTCCCGATGCCGAAATATGATCTGCAATTAACTTGCTACTTAAGATTATTGCCCCATGCAATTGTTAACCAATTACGTTTTTTTACGCTAGGGATCGATTATGTTCTAATCCTGTATGCTAAAGTGTAAATGATGGGAAATTGTTGATGCGTGCCTCTGGTCCAAGGGACTGAGGAGGCCTCCCTCAGCTTCATGGGTCCCAAAACTATTCCCCTAGCTACCCAAATTATCATGTCACAATAAGCATATTACTTTTTTCACACACTTCCATGCATAATTTTCTTAATCGGTATTACTTTTCATTAGAATTGACGACAAAATTTCATACTACTTTCAGTACAGGAACCACTATTAAAGTTCTGCTATTCGACGCCCGATAATAACCGTAAAGGTTATTAAGCAACTGCTTAAGTGCGTCTTTGGTTAGAATCTAGCAACTCGTCTGCCTTCATGTCATCGTCTCTCTTTTTGTTCGGGAGAAGCGATCGATCTTAACGATTGTTTGCCCATCGTATCTTTGCAAAGATCTTCTTTTGACAAGCCCTGCATTCTCATGCCATGTCAGGTTCTGTAGTAAGAATTTTTGTTTGCACATTTACCGCTGCCGTGTGATTCTCATGTATCATCAGTTAAGTTGTGTTGACAAAGGAAGACGATTTAATGTGAAGAATTGTGTATACACTTGATTTCTGGACCGGGACAGAAAATGCACCATCTCCTCGCACAAACCTTGCTCTTAGTTTTTTTTTCAACTTTTCTATGTTGCATCATTGAAAATCACGACGCGCTGTCGGATATAAAAGATTATGTTCCATCAATCCCAAGATTATCACTTAGTCTACAAATCTGTACTTCTCGATCATTTTTCGTATTTCAGTTTAATGTCAATGAATCCTTATTCTAGTGTTACCGTCCTGCAGTAAAATTACATTTGATTGAAACCCGAGCATTTCGTTGTGTTGGTGCCTGGTAGGTGTCGTGTACCCTACCATTGTACCATTACCATTGGTGTCGGCTACCATAATGGCTCGATGTGTACAATACTTGTCCTGGACGTAGAGTTCCGTGAAACCCCCCGTGTCCCGCGCTTCCGATCATTCATCCCTTCATGGCGTTTATCATGTAAATATTTCTATTTGCGTCAAATTTTTCGCCGTGATGACTGTGAAGAAAGAGAACGGTATGAAAGGTTGAGAGTGCCATTAGTTCTGAATCAGTAATTGTACTGAAAAAGACATCAAATAAAATGTTCTGTTGACATGTCAACAAGAGCTTTTACTATTTTACTTATGCGTTTCATTTATTATCCTACTATAGAATTGAACACTCCTGTGTGATCTTGCAAGAGTTACTATTTTTTTGGAAGAAAAAGCCAACTTCAACTGACATTCACTAAGTAAAATATCACTCAGACTAGAGATTCTAATTTGCTTATCGCCGAGCATGAAGTGCCGGAGCAATTGGCTTGGCTTAAACAGAAGCTGCCTTCAAAAACACGCGCATTGTTCTTGTAGCAAAGTTGTAACTTCTGCGGTGACAAGTCTGAACTCCATGTCACATACATAGTGCGTCCGAAGTTCGATAGCAATTAATCTATTTATGATGACAAATCCCGGGTAGGTTGCGGTTTTTGTAAGGATGATTGGGATTTTTTGAACGATGTTGCATTGCATAAATGATGCCAATCTTATGACATCCAGCCCAACTAGAATGCACGAGCTGCATTACCCATGAAACTGTCAAGCATGAAAGAAAAACTCTTCAAAGGTCGTCTCAGATCCAGATCCTTTAAAAAAAACATGTACTTTGTAATCTGCACCTAGAATAGAATAGAAGTGTTGGCACTGAAGAAAAAGGGCATATGGCCTGTTGCCTGGGGAAATTACCTCGCATTATCAGGTCGCATATCACTGATATCAGTTATGTACGGTATCTACCTGCATCACCCTTGCAGAACATACTTGAGACGTCCGCAATTCAAAACTTTCGAATCAACGTGCCGTTGAAAAAATTGGAATGCAACTTTCGCGGAGCGTCAAGATGGCGGTCCTCATACCAGCAGACGAGTAGGTGAAGCAATGAGTAAATACAGACGCGGGTCACACGGTATGCGCAGGATTCGCTCAAAAGATGGAGTAGTAGCATGAAACTGTTGATATCGACCCTTTGCGGACAAAGTAACTATTGAATAGATGGAAGGGATATATACAATTGAATTATTTCAAATAGGCAATATATATTAGTAATTGTTTTTAGTCCAAGATCAAAATGACCATGGCTAATGCCCATAGGTATCCTGTAACAGAGGCGATGAAAATCGTTGGAATGTGCGTAGACCACAGACCGCATTGCCACTTCAGTGGAATGAGACCAATCGACCAAAAAAATTAGACGAAAATTTTAAAACTTACACCAAGTCCATAAATGAATTCTCATTCGTGACAATTAAAAGAAAGTACTTGACTAACACAAATGAAAATACAAAGCACGTTCCTCAATACGTATTGTAAAGTATACAAGTTTTATAAGAGCAGGGTTAACTAATAAGCTATAAAATCAAGAACAAGTTCGTCGAAGAATACTCCGAAGTTTCGGTCAGTTCATGCAATAGCTCTCGGTTCTAAGGACTGCGGCGTCAAAACTTCAAGGAGAAAACTACAGGTGGTGCAAGACGCGGACTGCGATTCAGGTGGTGACGAGTTATCTTGAAATAAAAATTAGTTTTATGAAAACACAATAACCACAGATCAGATAAAATTCAAACTTTTGCCGAGCGTTTTGTCAAGGAAAAATTAACATGTTACTTCCAAGAACGCGTTACACACTCACATCAATTAAAATTGGAAAGTAATTTGTTCATAAGAATTACAATGTTAGAGCATTAACAATATCTTTGATTTTAGAAGTTTCCTTCAATTAATTTAATAAGCGGATCCCAATATACAGAATAGAACATAGCCAAGCCGGAAGAAGAAACACGCTTAACAGGAACCTTAATCGCATTTTTTCCTGCTCTCTTCTCCCCTCTTTCGAGGGAGCTCGAAATAGACATGAGGGTCCCTTAAAATAGTGGACAACCTCGGAGGCGAAGATGAGGGTAGAGTCGATGCGCTTGAGCACCGGGCGTCAGTGTAGGTGCAGGAGTGTCGCCAGCGCAACGTGTTAGTTGCGACGCTCTTCAGTGTCTGTTTATTTATAAATAAGAAGCACGAGCCTGACTGTTGTTCTGTTAAAGTGGTCGTTACAGCTGTGTTATAATTGATCCTTTAATAATAGTACTAATAAAACAAGTAAAAGGTCATCACAATGAACAGTAATATGTGGACAAATAATTTATTTTAACAAATAAAAACTTTATAAGAAAAGGTGAACATGATTCAGCGGTGGAATTTCATGTCAATATCTTCGGTGAGACAAAATTATTTGCGAACAAGATAACGTATATTATTAAGCCAATATATGAAATGTGTGATCGAATTTAGATTTCGAGGAAATCCGACCACTTGCACTTTCCGGGTCTTTCGAACACATACGAGACAATTCAAATAATTCGTCGCATTTACCCAGCGCAAATCATTCTTTGACCGTTTAATAAAAATAGTAGCAATGTACTTCCCTCACGAATTAACAGCGCAGGAGGGGATCACTCCGGTGCTATCTTTTCTACACACGGAAATGGCACCGACTAACAGCATGATTAATCGGTTTATCTAACTATTATAATTGGAAGTGCTCGCCATAATTTTGATAAATTGAAAATATTCGAACTGTCGATCAGAATTCAAGTTATCTGATTTTCTACTTGTATTCTATGGTAAAACTCGAATTAGATATCTGAAAACCTCTCTTGTAGGGAAAACCTGCGAGTAGGCATAATTTTTATTTTAAATGAATAGAACTGCCATCCAATACGTTTTTTGATCAAATTTAGGCAGATGCTAACCTGATCAATTATATATATTAGGCAAACTTCATTAGTCAATTTTAAATGACGAGTTGATTGTAGGATAGCTCAACGGGACCCGGAAGTTCTCTTCCGCGCTGCAATTGACGTTTCGACCACCAAAGCATAACTTCCGTTTGTTTGCTTCGTATATATAACCTACGTAGCTTTAATGACGTCTACTACTGAAAACCGATTCGAGTTGGGTATACATACTCTATATATAGAAATTCATTCATTTTCCAAAAGCTGGACCATTATGTTTAATTAAATGGCATTAATCTCACTAAATTTTTCTAGTTCACAGCTGCACAAGTTACGCGTTTTTCATCAATAACAAAACTGACAGGAATATACAAATCTTTTTGAGCTCGCAGTCATTTTCATGCATAGGCCAAAGCGTGTGGTTTGGCTGACAGTTTTGAAAATCGTTTTCTCGATCTAAATGAACTTCGCTCTCTTCCTATGATAAATATGTATCTCAATAACTTTCGCACCTCCGCAGTTGGTGAACGTAGTTCTTCATTATCCATCAGGTAACAATAAGTAGCCGATTATAAAGGTAAATGAACACGATAGACATTATTCGGGCAACATCGAATCTCGAACATGTTACACAATAGGTTATAAAATGAACTTGATCTGTAACTTTTTGATTACAAATACACGAGTTTGATCTAGCTGTATCAGTGGGCAGTGGCTATTGTAGAAAAACGTTCAATAGCTCATTCAATGTTATCCTTTTTAAATAAATACAATTTCAAGTGAAAACGCCCTATCTTCTCTTGTGCTTGGCACCGAGTTCGACTTCAAGACATGTCGGTGGCGCTGTGCTTCAGCACGCCATGGTGCGTGTGGTTTTGGACTAGCATTGTGTCCATATCAGTAGCATTAATAATAATGATTTACTACACTATCCGTTGTTGCAAAGTAATGCATTCAACCCAACCAACACTTGGGTTCCAAATTCGCCAAATGGAGCAGCAAATGAGAATGGCGGAACAGCAGCAAGTGGTTAGACTGCATGACGAACCTAACGCAAATGAACGAATTAACGACGACCAGCCACCTGCTTACGAACGCTTGTACCCGAACATGATGTACCTGCCATACGTGGCCGTGTACCACCATCACTTACAGACTCTACATGCGGGTAATGAGACCGCATACCAGCTTGGCCATGCCGACGCATCCTCTTCCCTCACCACACCCTCTTAGCACAAAGCTATAACGAATTCAAAGCACTAAACATACCAGCTAATTACGAGTTAAATTTACGCTGAAATAAGTGAATAAAATATTGTTCAAGGATTTGAACAAAATCTTAAAGGATGATTAAATTGAATTTAGGGATGTACCACGGCTTCAACCCATATCTGAAGGTACGTAGAGCCAAGCGTGCACGAATTTCGTAATTTTAAACCTTAGGCCGGAGGCTGCAGTCGACGCTTTAGTGCTTTTAGCGTGTTAACGTGATACGTAACTCTGTCGAACGACGATTCTCTAAAGCCAAATGCATTTTAAGGTTTAAGCTGAGCAGTTCTCACATAATAAACGAATGAGGCCATTTTAGTTTGAAGCCTCACTCAGACATTGTGCCTTCAAAGTTATGAGGTCAAAGAGAAAATAGCCTGCGGAAAAATTCTAATATTTGTATGGTACGGTATTTGGCAAGAAACGGTCACGCGTCTAATATAGGGCGAGGGTGGCTTACAGGTTACAGCTCCGATTAATGGATTGGAGCAGAGAGGTGCGGGTTCGAGACCGCAACAAGCTAAGAATATCTGCGATGTTAAGAATCGGAGTCAGGCCCACGGCATAGTGAACGCTGAAACAATAATTTATTTACTATTTATTATTTTTTTAGGGACAGCAGTTACGAGTAAATTTGCTTCAAAACAATGAGGTTTGCTACGTTTAACGAACGTGCAAAACTTGTCGCACTTATTCTGTAAAATGGGACATTTTCTCTCCCCCTAACATACTATGAAATGTTAAGCATGCACGCACCTGCTGCAAGCCGGTAACGCCCAATCAGAAGTTAAGTCATCTCTAATGATACGCCACTCCCAAATAGAACTTGTGAGTTGTGACAAATTGCATCAAGTCCCACCCCTTGTACAACGTGTCCTGAAAAATAACACAATGCCAGTAATATATGAAGGCGAGAAAGGAATCTAAAAAATTAAACTTTTAAAAATTAATGGCGCACAGCCAACATCATGGTCAATGTTTAGGCTAGCTTGGGATGAAGAATGGAGTTCATACATGAAGAAATGAGTAATTTGAATATAAGACTTATATCACATATATTATTCAGGTAATCACTCGGTAATACGCATGCTAAAAAAGTCGTCCAAAATTTTTTATGGCTATACAGTTGTGCCGAGAACCATTGACTCGGCGGATTAGCGGCGTCTAGGCCTATCGTTTTGTTGTAATTCATTCACCTTGCAGCCGCATTAGACAGATGAACCATCATCGTGTCCGCAGTTTCTCGCACTATTATTTCGTTTAAGCACCCCTTGAAAACCAACGTAAGTTACGTTTAGTTACTAAACCTTTTGAATCGTGTCCCTGCTGTTCAGTATATTCATGTACGTTTCAATTTGCTCTATGTTCTTGATTAGTAATTTGTCAAAATTTTATTGACCCAGTCTATTGTTTTCGTTATTGTATTTTGTTTTCCTGTCCTCTGGGCAGGTCCACGGATTTAAGTAAATTCCACCAGATACAAACTGCACGTTTTTACCTCAAGCCAAAGTGGCGTTTACAATGCCTCGGCATTGACACCAGTTGAGCATTAGGCGTCGCTCGACTCCTAACCATAAATGTTGCGAGACACCAAACCATCATTGACACCTAACCATTATAATGCTGGCAAGCGACTCTCCAAACCTTACTTCATAGACTGGTATCCAGATTACAGGGTTCGGTCATCCGGAACACGATATTCGAAATTTTCTTTCATGCAACATTCAAGGCCAATTAATTTAGATCGTAGCAGCCATATAAAACAGAAAAAATTACAAACACTGAAATGAAATAGCAAAATTCTCATTGAATAAACCATGATAAGTGAGAGGTTATCATGGTTGATTAATTTTCGAGCCGTGTAGACTTTTTGAATGATGATCTACGATACTACTGAGAGTTTGCGTTGCTGGATGGCGGTGGACCGTTCGTCAATAACGTCTGTAGTAGCTGAAATTTTTAGTATCAAGCATCAAAGCGTAACTTGGTGTTAAGACCAATGGCTGAAACTTGAGACACGCATGCGCATGCTCCTGCATGAACCGGTAGTGATTGTATACTACAAGTATAACAGGAATATCAGGACAGATAAACAAGAGCAATCTGTTCAACGGTGGATAAAATTGAAAACTTCTATCACGCAAGAATCTAACACCACAGAATAAGCTACATTTACGTCTATTTTAAATAAGTTTAACCAATAATTCCTCATACCAAATGCTGTACTATCCAGTGTAAACGATCTCATCTACCCACATAACCGCGACCTACTAACGTGTTGAATCAACTCAGACTTCGTTTTAGTGGGTAAATTTGTAAACCATTACAATTACCACACTATAAATCAGAAGATTTATTTGCTCATGTTGTTAAGATTTTCACTTGTTTAAGCATGAGGATTGTGAATTACAGTATGTAGAGCGTAATAGTAGTAGCAGCCTTTCTGTCTTGAAACAGCTAAACGAAACAATATCGAACAGCGTGGTGAAACATTTCTGATAGTAAACATAGAATTTCAACCCTAGAATATAAAATATCAGAGCTAACAAGGCTAACGAGCTCAACTATTGGATAGTTCTATGCTCATAAATCAGGATAGAGTCCTGGCATTAATTTCTTAGCCCTGCCATTCATATTTATCTATCTTGGTAATTAATAACAAACAATAAAAATTACAGGCAGCCGGTGATTGCTGCTGCCACGTGCAGCGAGATTCGAGGTTTTTGGGCATCATGCAGTCTAACTACTAACGAATGATCAGCATCGTAATATTTGGCAACAAATATGACAAACCCATGACAAAACTGACGTTTTTGAAAAGATATTTACGCAACTTTAATCAAAGACATTGTAGCATCGCGAATTATACTTTAAAATCTTTGCCCCAAAATCTGAAAATTCTGCCTTTCTTGTAATATTGTGGTCGGCAACGGCGTCGGATGTGACTCGAATTCCCCGTCACCAACTATGAACTAGGCCTAACACCAGTGTGCGAAGTTTATGAGAAATGTAGACGAAATCAATATAGATGAACTCACATCCTCGCGGCTAAAATTGATGCAAATGTTAAATAAAACTATAGGCTCCCCTACATTTAGTAAGGTTTATCTGTCATCACCGTCCTTAATCACATCATCTGTTAGTGTATAGTACCTGATTACCACCATGAGTGGTAACTGCATGCGACTTCCGACTGCACAATTCACTTTTCATTATGCTCGCTGATCACCAAGACCATTTGAAGCTGCTAATCAATAATGTAAATCACATTCGTCAACGTTTGACTTCAAATTAATAAATTTTAGGCCACAAATGAAGCTCCAAACTTGGTAAAATTCAGATTACGGTTCATCCATGTCAGTATTGACGCCATTGGCAAGAGCTCGTTTTCCGCTGCCGGCACGTCGATAGTTTGAAACGAAACTGACTGTTGACTCACTAATTTCGTTTGATTGAGAATTAGACTCAAAGAAAACGAATAACTTTGTCGTTGCTTTTCCTATTCATTGAACTTTGAAATTGTGATTAATCTTGTATTTCGTTCGCAATTCGGTTGGTTATATTTTTCAGTTAACGATTATATAAATTCAGAATTTATAATGGATCTTGAATTATAGTGAAAAATGTAGCTCGTAAATTGTGTTTGTTCTCTATTAACTCAAACATTAACGGTAAAATTTTTTCAGTTGCGGAAGTGTTTTGAAAGTCCCATTCTAATGGCTCATTCGTTTAAAAATAAGCCCTGCTCCACATTGAAAAACTAAACACGACCGACACTTTTGCGCGCCGTTATTTGGGTCTCCCTGCGCTAGAATTATAGGAGCCAAATTTATGAATTTTGAGCCTACATAAATGTAATCGACTGTACATCATTTTATTCACATCCCGCCTAGGCGGAATTTTCATAAATAAATTAAATTTATAATCTGATGTTAGGGTATAGTTTAAATAAAGTCCGTATCTTCGATACGCGAGCTGAGGTACATGCAACGCGGCTACCAAAAATTTCCTTTCAGAAAAGTTCTTTAAAAATTAACAAAATTGATACTAATAATAGTGATATGCCAAAGAGTTGAATATTGATAATTTTCATATGTTGAAATTGGAACTACCTAATAAATAAAATATTGAATAACAAAATTCATTCTCAACCACAATTAATTTGAAAATGTGCAAATTTTTTAATTTGTGACGTTGGCTGGTGAGCACGATTCTCGAATTCAATAGATTCGGGCTATTGCTTGTAATAACAAAGTTAATTTTTTAAGAGTTAAGTTCTTGGACAACAAATCTAGTGTACCAATAAATGTAGCTCGTACTTGAAGTAGCATGTAAGGTAGCAACGGATTCAACAAATTCCGATTGAATACAAATAGATTAAAATGAATAAAAATTTACAATTTACTTACGCTAGTCGCGGCGACATGTTGGTGTAAATCCCAAGATCTTTACTTACAAGAATGCAAGTAAATCCCAAGGGCTTTGCTATCACGATTATTGCAGTTTTGGCACCGTTTATTTACACATAAAATCACTGGGCAATACTGCTCACTAAATTCGTCGGCGCCATGTGATATTGATTATGTTATAAGAATAATTATGAAGAATGTTTAATGATATCTTAATTGTTGATTTCTTTTCAGAAAATCACGTGGTCCTTGACTGCATTTCTGAATTGTGAGTAAAAAAACTGGATAATACGTTTTGTTCAATCAGTCAGTTACAATTGCAACCGCTTTGAGGCTGTAATTTTTAAATTTTGGCAAATTAATTTTCATTATCTTGCCTCATTACTCAATCAATAATTATTGAGATTCACACGCTTCTCTGATATGAATAACACTTCATTTAACTCGCGGTTAACGCCGACGAGAGCCTTGGACCAAACTCACATCTTTTTAGACGACGGAACATCTCACTACGAAAATGAACTGGTCAGCTTAGACAGGTTCTCTGGTAGTTTTGAAGAACACAGCCTGAATACAGTTCTTGAAGAACCAACGGCACTTTGTGAACAAGTTTTGAACGATGCGGGGAACATCCAGAACGGGTTCTTCGACAGCCCAGCTTCCTGTCTGCCGGAATATTTCTTGCCGAGCTCGATCTCCTCGAGTGCAGATGGTGAATCTGGAGCCGAGGAGTCGAACTCAGTCGAGTCGGCCAAAGAACTTTTCGAAGATGACCCAGAACCTCGAAGCGACGAAAGCCGTGAGTTAAAATCATTAACACCTGAGCATGATTATTCTACTATCATACTAGTACTATTAACATCATTTTTATTTGTGTAGCCATAATGTGTCATTGACATAACTGATATTGATCCTAAAAAAGTGCCAAATTTTTCGTGGCGCACGTCTAACAAATTTCTCACTCGGCACAATGAAGTAGCTGGCACCACGCCATGAGGGTCAACTTGTCGCTCGATCTCGACGCTGCAAACTTTAGCCAGAACAGTGTAGCGCGTTAGAACAGTGTAGCGCGTTAGAACAGTGTAGCGCGTTAGAACAGTGTAGCGCGTTTAGCGCGTTAGAACAGTGTAACGCGTTAGAACAGTGTAGCGCGTTAGAACAGTGTAGCGCGTTAGAACAGTGTAGCGCGTTAGAACAGTGTAGCGCGTTAGAACAGTGCAGCGCATTAGAACAGTGTAGCGCGTTAGAACAGTGTAACGCGATAGAACAGTGTAGCGCGTTAGACCAGTGTAGCGCGTTATAAACAGTGTAGCTCGTTAGAACAGTGTAGCGCGTTAGAACAGTGTAGCGCGTTAGAACAGTGTAGCGCGTTAGAACAGTGTAGCGCGTTAGAACAGTGTAGCGCATTAGAACAGTGTAGCGCGTTGGAACAGTGTAGCGCGTTAGAACAGTGTAGCGCGTTAGAACAGTGTAGCGCGTTAGAACAGTGTAGCGCGTTAGAACAGTGTAGCGCGTTAGAACAGTGTAGCGAGTATTAATTTTAAGCTCGAATACGGACGAGGTCTACTTAACGTGACACACAATTATTATTTTTTTTTTCATTTTGATTTTCATAACCTCTACTTAACGTAAGGTTAGTATTAGATGACAGAATAAGCTTATTTAACTCGGGCGGTTAGTTGACCATAGAATTCATTTATTTAAATTTTCAGGGCCAAACAATTCTTCAGATGACGTTGGTTGATCAAAATGCAGGTTTAAAGAAGTAATTTTCATTTATTAACGACGTTTCGAATGTAACAACATTCATTTTCAAGTTATAGGAAGCATTGAATACTGAAAATTTGATGGAAATAAGTACATGATACACGTAAATATGATACAACGCGAAAATTTGGAGCCGTGAAAATAATTCCGAAAAAATCTTCTAGCTTAGAAAATCCTGTAGTTGTGAGATGGATAGCTGGAGTCCAATCCGTGGAGATGAGGGATTAAGCTATCGGATGGTGTCGGTTTAATCAATGAATCATCTGTTCATTAACGTCATGTTTACATAAAGTAACGTTGAGTTTCCATGACGTCGTCCTAGCCCAACGTCTAATTTATGGGGCTTGTAATACTAGTGAACAGGATGAGGGACAGTAAGTGGGAAAGAAGTAGTTACAAAAATCGCAGGAATTGTTCATTCTAATAAAATAAAGTTAGAAGAATTGTTACCAAAAAAGCACATGATTAAAAAAGATTCCCATTTTCAATTCCAGACACGATATCAAAAGGCAAAGTAAGCGACCTGCAGCGGACGGCCCTGGACGCCATTTTTCACATCACCGACAGACCTTCAAGATGTCTGGTGCTCTACATCGCATCTGAACTTCGTCTTCATCACGTCACCGTCAAGAATTTCTTCAGCAACGCCCGGCGAAGAGTGAGAAGGGCCGCGGCAAGATTAAGTGATCCCGAGAGAAGCAAACGAGAAAACCGCAAGCGCAAAGAGAAAAGGAGACTTGCAGCTCTGACCGCAGCGGCGTGGCCAAGCTTGGACATGGCGGGTAACCGCAGCCTCAAGACATCAGATGGATCTCGGGTACCTGATATCCAGCAGTGCAGTGATACGTCTAATGAGAGTCCAGGTCTCACTAAAGCAGATCAAGTGTCTCCTAGAAGACGAGCTCTCATGGAGAAGCTTGCAGACAAGGTACAGCGCAGTGCAGCGCTCAGGAACTTGGCAAACAGCGTCGATGCTACGGCACCTGCCACTGCCAGTCTACCGCATGTTGATGTTGGAGTTGTTACTACGACGGACATGTTCTCCACAGACTCCTCGTTATCTCCAACAAATGTGGCTTTGCCTTTCGCTACGACATTCAGAAATGATTTAGCCAATGACTGCAGTATCCCTCCTGAACTCAAAGCCCCTATATTCCAAGGTAAACTCATTCCCATGCAAGACACAAACTCTTCGTCAACTCCGATGGAAGCATTCGAATCGCCGTCATTTGAATCTCCCTGCGACGACCGAGATTCTTCCCTGTGGCACCAGAATCTTCTGAACGTAACTCTTGAATATCATCCGGATTCTTGGGATATTCCAGCGCTGTACTGAGGACTTTACGAGCAATGTTGGAGTCTGTTCGTTGTACTAAACAATAAGTGAGTCGGGATGACTCACCAGGGAGTAAAGCGCTTGCGACAAAGGCGAATTAATTTTTGTAATATTTTCTCTTTAGCCTTTGTTAGCAAATTCTATTGAGAAAGTCGCATTTGATCCGTTTGATGAAAAAATATGAGCTAAATTAAGCCAAGAAACGAACGCGAGTCCAAAAGTCCCGTTGAGGTGCATTATTTTTCTTTACAAGCACACGCTACGCATTTATTTTTCCGAAACTGAGTGACGCAACTATCCTCCCTCTGATGTACCACAGTAGATTTGAAGTAAACTATTAAACTCACGATTAGTTATCCATTTTTTATCCCCTAGGAATGCCGTCATTGCGGTTTGGTGGCTCACACACAACAGGAAACATTTCTGCCCAGCACTTATTTTTTTCAATTTTGTGTCGCTGGTCGAAATTCAGAAAAAATTTAAGAAGTTAGTGAACGAATACGATAATCATAACTTTTTGAAACGACTTCGAAATTAACTGAAAATCGTTTGAAAATGTAACAAGGGGCTGTGAAATATAGTGACAGGCATCCAGTTACAGCTTGCATCCAGACACTATAGGATGCATCGAGTGGTAGTATAAATCAGGTGGCGTATTTTCGTACATGTAACGAACACCACACACGTGATTTAAAATCAAAGTGATTAAAATCAAAGTGATAAGAAAACGAACGTCACAGAAGGTAACGTTGACGTAATGAAAATACTAACCAGGCTAATGAATGACAAGTAGTATTTGAAGTCATCACTAAACTTAAGGAGGATAATGAGGACTAAGGGCATGCTTAATAATTTTTTACATGGCTTACATGTCTGATATCATAGGCCCGAGTTCTGATTGTTAATAAGTGAACGGAAGTCTGTACATGAATGCACACTCGCAGCAAGATGCTTATAGCGATAAAGCGAGCTAAACTTTCAAAAATCGAGATGGATTCGATTTGACATTTATGTACATATCAGATAAATTTGATATTTAAGGTAGGGAAAAAAATAGCAAGTATGTTCGCTCTGTTGGCGGCGCATCAGCATGGCAATGGACGCAGACTTCAAAACTTTACACAAAAACAAAAGGTAAGAACTCACACGATTCTAAGGAGCAAAAAAATTTCGTAGTTCAAATTTTGAGTTGAATCAACCCACTCTCTTGAAGTAGTTAGGTTTCATTTGGCTCACAGTTACGCACCCCGAACAGGTACTTAGATCAGATCTATAGCAACTCTTCAAAGTAACTGAAACATTAAATATCTGCATCGACCACCGCGTAAACATAATTATGAACAACAATTTTAAACTAATTTTACTATTTAAATGCATCACACAATTCCTGACTCCAAACCTCGATGTGGGAATCACTCAGAATGATGTGTGTTGAAATATGAAAATACTTAGAGAGAAATTTCCCGGACGCTACTCTTTTACTTATATTAAATCCAAGTTTGAATTGAGTTATATTGAACTGACGGAAGACAAGCGCACTTTAACGTTATGTTTGATCGAATAAAAAATTTTCAATTTGTTTTCAATGCAATTTCAAAGTGAACTGATACAATGTCAGAAATTATTGTGGAGCTGTAGGATGATGGAGCTGCAGGATGATGGAGCTGCAGAATGATGGAGCTGCAGAATGATGGAGCTGCAGAATGATGGAGCTGCAGGATGATGGAGCTGCAGAATGATATAGTGAGGTGATGTCAGAACAACTTTTTTCCCAGCATATCATATCAAAGATAAGCCTGATGATAATGGAACACAATAAAATGCCGTTGTGATGAAGATGTGATATGGTGAACAAGTTTCTGATGGTGTGATATGGTGAACAAATCTCCTAACAGGCAGCGGTATTGTGAACAAGTTAGGATTGAGGCAAGGTATGATGAAAAGTTAAAACATAATCTGTACCGATCAGCCTACAGTAGAATATGATATTTTTACCAATACAATAAAAAACTCCAATCATTCATAGATTATATTCACAAACGTATAAATAAATTCAAATTACGTATAAAGCCGCCGTGAGAAGCGTCGTGGCAGGCGAGACTCCTGCATCCAATAAGACACCGAATTAGAGATTCGGTTATGTATACTTGTATATAAATACTTGTATACTTGGGCGATATTTTATATAATATTAGAAGCGCGAACCTAAATGTTAACCAAATTATAAAGAGGGCGAATTGATGAAGTGATTCCAGCAAGACGGAATTTACGACTTGTTTCCGAGCTGTAGATGACGGTGGAAGCCAATACGTTAGACGTCCAATCAGTGGAGGAAAGCCAATACGTTACACGTCCAATCAGTGGAGGAAAGCCAATACGTTAGACGTCCAATCAGTAGAGGAAAGCCAATACGTTAGACGTCCAATCAGTGGAGGAAAGCCAATACGTTGGACGTCCAATCAGTGGAGGAAAGCCAATACGTTAGACGTCCAATCAGTGGAGGAAAGCCAATACGTTAGACGTCCAATCAGTGAAGGAAAGCCAATACGTTAGACGTCCAATCAGTGGAGGAAGCTAATACGTTAGACGTCCAATCAGTGGAGGAAAGCCAATACGTTGGACGAGAAGCAAAGAATGTCACAGGTAGCTGGGATCGAACCCATAACTCACTGCTCCAATCTTGGTACTCTGAACTGCAGTCACTGGGTCGCCCATATTAATTTCGTTATATATTGTGAACAGCACGATAACGATAATCGCTTTCAACCTTAATCAATACATGTTATAACGTCAATCATTTCTTTTAATGCCGATGACCAATTATTCATAAATAAGGTACCAATTATAATTATTAATTACTAGCATAAAATATAAATTTCCGATATTTCAAATTCCTAATTAAATAGTGCCGGACGGAAAAATTTTCTCTATATTTTCGGGAAATTTTTACAGATCTATCATTAATTTGGAAGGCAATTATATATAGTAGGGAATTGGCAAACATTTCCTAAAACTGAGTATTTAAGAACTTAATTATGAATAAAAAGCATATAAAACTTGAGCTCAGATCAATAAGTACCAACTCCTGACCACATCGTCATTAAGTTCCCTGGTCACTCAACTTCAAACTATAATGCAACTTTGAACTAATTCATCTGATAAACGATCATGAATGACTGAAAATATTAATAAATAAAACACGTTTTGGCTAAAGAGATTCATAAAGCAGTTAAATCTATCTAGGTTACCAATATATTCTGTTATAATTGTCATTAAAAAGAGAGTCTGTGCGAAATAAGTTCGTTCGGCTGCCGACATGGCTTAGCGGGGGACGAATGAGCAGATAACAAAAAGCGATGTTCTGGAGGTGAACAGTTGAGAGGAGAACGCGGGAGAGGAGATGAAGAAGGGATAAGAGATAAGGACGTAGAGATGAAGAGACAACAGATGAGGAGGCAACAGCTGAGGAGATAACAGATGAGGAGACAACAGATGAGGAGACAACAGCTGAGGAGACAACAGATAAGGAGAACAGATGAGGAGACATGAGGAGAAAACAGTTGAGGATAAGAGATGAGTATATAAGAAGTAGCAAGAGAACAGACACGGAAGGAGCATATGTTTGCAGTCACCTAACACAAGCATTACAGAGCAACAAGACTCTCATTTATTCAGCTGTGAAGAACACTCAAAACAACGACATTCATCCAGAGGTAATAATAGTACGTATGATATCTATTATTCGTAGAGCGTAGTTCTATTTTTTAATAATAACGATAATAAACGATACGATAATCTGCGCATATATCTAACCCATGTCCAAAACACGAGATATCAGATCTAGGTATGACCAGAGCACCTCAGTCATACAAAATAAAATTACTCGCTAAAAAGTTACGAATACGTTAACGTTAAACTCAAATTCACGAGTGCATTTCAAGATAATTTACATTTGTACAGAGCAGGAGTAAACCTAGCACCATTATTATTTTACGGAAGCATACATCTATCAAATTATTTTACGTCAATTGATATATTCGTACCGATGAATCAGACCCGAGTCACAAAAACAAAGACCGTACTAGAGTCTGGGACCTATTCGAAGGCGGCACTCCGACTTTGCTGTTAGTGGTGCCCGAAACGAACCAAGGACAAATGCTAGCTATACGGGGGATCTTGAGGTGATATATGACCTAAACGAAAGATACTTCGGTGGGAATGGACTTAGAAGCTTTCGCTTCATTAGAGTGAGCAAAGAGACGTTTAGGTGATATAACAAGTGGTTCGGATGACAAGGCTTCTTGACTCACGTAGCCCGAACTTTGCTTGGACAGGGACGGAGCCCCGGTGATCCACATTGATGGCGGAGAGTTCGAGGGATACCGATTCCTGTAGTTGACCCCATCACACGTGTTGGGTCTCTCGTTCGAGCATTTTAAATCATCATGGTCTATCTGAGAACATTTACGTCCTCTTTGGTTCTCAATGGGAGCGGACGCAACGAACCGCACTTCGTCCGAAAAATCCAGCTGCCGGGGCCTTGGATTGGTGAAGGCCCAGCAGTCCGGTGCCGCGGTCACGTAGTGGTCGTTAGAACTCGGCGTCATGCTACTTTGTCCAGAATCTAACATTTTGGAACTTTTTCTAGGGAATCCTTCGTCGGAAAATGCCGTTACATATCCCGCAGCATTGCTTCGTTGACCTGAAGCAGATCTAGGAAGAGACTCTAGGTCCTCTAGAGTGCAGTAGTTCGGTGCTGGACTTTCGCTAGGTAACTCGCTTGCTAGCCGTATAGGTCCGCCGTCTCTGACCGCTGTGTCGGGAATATCTTTACCTACTGAGCTGCCAGACGCGAGATTGTTACTGGTAAATGCGGCGGCCTTAGATCGAGGCGGCTGATTGCTTAACGTGACATAACCTTGACTAGATGAAAGAGGTTGTATGGCGTTCTTTCTCTTCCCAACCACACTATAAGCTCCGGCAGCGTTGCTGAAAAACCCAGGCAGTTCGTGCTTCTCTTCAGATTTCCCAATGTTCAACAGTGAAGGAATTGAGGTCGGTCTTCGCTTGCCATGCGGTTGATCACACAAACTCTCCGGAGTGTTAAGACGACTGACATCGTTGCTGTGGGCGATGGCCACATAGCGAGGTTCATCAAAATCAACGCTGGAATTATCGACAGAAGGTCCTTTGATAAAGCCTGGTGGTGAAAAGCTGTGTCGCGAATACGCTGGAAGAGGCGAAGAGGCGTTTGAATAAGGCGGGCTTGAGAAGTTGCTGTTCTTGTTGCTAGGCAACAAACATGTGCTAGAGCGGCGGGAGATGGCGGCGCTTGCTTCACCTCCTAGTGAGGTCTTAGTGATGAGGTGCATCGGGATGCCTGAACCTGGCGCCGAAAGGTTGGGGGTGCTGCTCTGCATCGGATCTTTTATCGGCAGGTTTGGGTCCGAGCGAATAGCCACGTATCCTTCGCTGATATTCTGAAAAGTAAATAAATAATATTTCTATGTGATGTCGGTGGCAAGGCATGTTAGACTAATGGGATACAATTTTTTTCATCTATTTGGTAACTGAAATGGACGGTTCTTCTACAAACTGCCTCACATGATATTACCTACACCTTGGTCACCATCCTCATCAACACTATCATCAACTAGCACAATATTCTTCCCCATTACCCTCACTCCAAATCACCATCATGTTCGCCGTGGAGGACGTAAGGGCCTGGCGACCGCTGCCGCACGGTGCCCACGGGCGGCCACAAGTCGCGCCCCTGCAGCCGTTAATATTTAGTAACTTAAATTTTGAAATGGAATTAAAATTTGAATTTAAAAATTCATTCAAGATTCAATTTAAAATTTTAAATTAAATTTTGAAATTGAATTAAAATTTGAATTAAAAAATTAATTCAAAATTCAATATAAATTTTTCAATTAAATTTTGAAATTGAATTAAAATTTTAATTTAAAAATTAATTCAAAATTCAATTTAAATTTTTAATTAAATTTTGAAATTGAAATTAACTTTTTTCAGCCGTTGAAATTATAAATCTTAAACATCAAATTTTTAAAACTCAGCGTCCTAAGCAGCAAAATGGTTTAAATGAACGCTTCTACAGCATGGAAAAACATAGCACTATCAGGTACTACAGGTAGGAATAGCATTGTGAACAATACGAGATAACTGCCTATTGCGCGGGTGGTAGAGAGTAAACACATCATTTTTATTACGACTGGCCTTGTATATTCGTTACTATATATATTTTTATTACAACTGGTCTTGTATATTCGTTACTATACAATCTTAATTTCATTCAGAATACAAAAAGTTTATGATTAATTTATAAAGAGATTTTAAGGAAAATTGCACGCAGAATGTGGGATTGACCGGATCCTTTTTTATATAATGGTAGTTTAGTTTCAAAATTATAAAAATGATAAAAAAGACGGAGTTCGGGATGACGGGGTTCGGAATAACTAGATTATAAACCAAAGCATTCATTGAATAAAAAATTCATGAATTCTTGAGTAGACTTGGGGTCATTGTTGAAATAAATGAATCAATAGATTCGTGAGTCAGCTTGACTCACTTGTCTGAGAGAGCTATGGGCCGAGTCTTGTGAGGAGGCTGAGGCAGAGTCCTGCTGGGAGGCAGAGTCCTGAGCCTCAGCCGTTGAGGCGAGGGCAGAGTCTGCCTCACTAGATCCCCCTCGGGATGAGTCCCCTGAGGGGTTACGCTCGTGTCGCTCCGACGCCTCCTGAGTAAACCAGTCAGTAATTTCTATATTTTTATAGAAATTATTATTATATATATAAATCATTATTATTATTATATATGTATTATTATATATATATTATATATCATCCATACGGTATTTTATAAAAATTAATTTTATTCATGATTGTATATTTTTATTCATATGTGCAGGCAAGAGTGTGTTCACAAAGTTATGAAAATTGGGTGGAAGTTTAATTTAGTCGAATTTATATTTGCACGATTCGTTACTGGTTTATGCAAATAACTTTTACGAATTAAAAGTAAAAATTGATTTGATATGACTGTAAAAAGATATAATGATCTTTCCAGGAACGAAATATTATAATTAAAAAGGAAAAAGAAAGCCCGCCTTGAGACCGTTGGTGATAAATCTAGTAATTTGAAAATGAAGCAAGTTAATGCTAAAAATTTTCATGATTTAAAAGCAAAAAATTAATTAGAGATAACCTGAGAAAGATAAAAAAAATAAAGGGTAAGCCCACCTCCGGTGGAATAACCTGAAAAAAGATAAAATGATCTTTCCAGGAACGAAATATTACAATAAGAAAGAAAAATGAAAGCCCGCGAAATATCATATATATTAATTATAAAATAAAGGGAAAGTCCACCTCCGGACCCTCGGTCCGAAATTTTATAATTAGAAAGGAAAAAGAAAGCCTGTCTTAAGGCCGTTGGTCATAAATAATAATTTAAAAATAAAGGGAAAGCTCACCTCCGGACCCTCGGTCTCGGAGTTGACCGAGGACTGCGACAGGAGCGGCATGCGCTTCCCCTCGTCGAAGAGGTCCTGCTGAGGGGGGCAGCGGGTCACCGGCGAGGGGAGGTGGAGGGATGTGTAGGCCGGGTTGAAAAGCGCCTGCTGGGGCATAATTAAATTTATGATAATCACCATCACCATGAAAAAAAATTCCCTTCTATCACTTTCACAATGAAAAAATTTCACTTCTATCATTATCACAAAGAAAAAATTTCACTTCTATCATTATAACAAAAAAAATTCACTTCTATCTTTATCACCATGAAAAAAGATTTCACTTCTATCATTTTCACCATGAAAATATTTTACTTCTATCATTATCACCATGAAAAAAATTGCTTTTCTATCACCATCACCATGAAAAAAAAAATTTCACTTCTATCACCATCACCATGAAAAAGATTTCACTCACAAAAAGTTAGGAAAGAAAAGCGTTTTGAGGTGCAATTGTGAAGGGAATCACAATATATGAGGGGATAGTTCGTTCGCATCACAATCACAGGTATGGTGTTACCTACGACATAAGGCATAGCACCTATGCTATCACTTTACAAAGGTTCAAAAATATATAAATATTATTTAATAAGTTTCAAGTTTATGCAAGAAGAGATTGAATAATAGTGCCAGCAATTACATAGACAATGATACGATGATAATAATAATGATAGCTAATAACTACATAGACAATGATACGATGATAATAATAATGATAATGATAATTATGATGAGGTTAATTCTCACCTGTGAAGACGCTGGCCCCGTGGGGGGCAGGTCAGGCTTAACTTTCTTCTCGCCGATGCTCTTCTGAAAAATATTTAATATGATGAATTTATGAACAGCAATCCAGTTATAAATTTATTTATTACCGCACTGATAAATCTTTTCTCTCAGATCATTGCCAGTAATGTGACGAATCTGTCTTTGATCTATGATTGTGAACGCCAGATTTTTTAACAGTTATAAATGAAAACAGTGTATCTGACCTAAAAAAGTCACGTAGGTACGCACAACATAAACACGTTAGAACGGCGGTCATTTTAATTATAAATATTTCAAGGTTTTGAGAAGATCTTTTGGATTATTAAATAAAAAGCAAGTAACTCATGAGTAAGAAAAACAAGAGTTTAGGTAGCCAAGATGCGAGGATAGTGAACCTTATATTGCTTCAAAATTTATTGCGATGATGGGTGATGTCACATGGATAATGGTCACATCATATTGCATTAAAATTTATTGCGATAAAAAAGTTATCGCTAGTAGAATCACCTAGAGATGAGTAAAGATTCATCGATAATACAGCAAATAAATTCATATCCTGATGAGTAAGCCATTTTTTCACGTAAAGACTCACCAGGTCAAAATTCATAGCGAAGAAATACAAGAAGAATCAATTCAAGATGAGTAAAGATTCATCTATAATACAGCAAAAAATTCATATCCCGCTTAAGCCATTTTTTCACGTGAAGACTCACCAGGTCAAAATTCATAGCGAAGAAATACAAGAAGAATCAATTCAAGATGAGTAAAGATTCATCTATAATATAGCAAATAAATTCATATCCCGCTGAGTAAGCCTTTTTTCACGTAAACACTCACCAGGTCAATATTCATAGCTTCAAAAATTCAAAATTAGCTTCAAATAATTAGCTTCAAAATATAATAATTATAATATAATATATAATATAATAATAATATATTATATTATATTAATATATAATAATATAATAATAATAATATAATCTTATATAACTATATAAGAATCTAATAATTAGCTTCAAAATTCATAGCTTCTCAAAATTCATAAAAACTCACCAGGTCGCCAGACTTGAAGTCCGGCAGGTTGGGCGCTGTCATGATCTCCCGAATGGCACTGGAAAAATATTATTTATTTAATTGATATAAATTCTGGCACATTTTGATCATAGAATCAGGAAAAATAAATTTTTTATAATTGATATAACTGGAAAAATATTATATTTTTTAAATTTATATAAATTCAGGCACATTTTGATTAGAGATATCAGGAAAAACATTATTTTTTTAAAACTGAAATAAATCCAGGCACATTTTTATTAGAGATATCAGGAAAAATATTTTTTTTTCAACTGACATAAATTCAGGCACATTTTTATTAGAGATATCAGGAAAAATATATTTTTAAATTGACATAAATTCAGGCACATTTTGATAAAAGATTTCAGCAACATTCATATAGAAAATTCATAATATTTTGTATGCAATGAACTTTGTGGCAAGGTGTACGACAACATCGAGTCCGCCGAGAACAGCTCTGTGAGTGGGTACACTGGTTGTGAGGGGAAACAAGCGTTGTGAGGGGAAACAAGCGTTGTTGGAAAACAAGCGTTGCGAGGGGAAACAAGCGTTGTGAGGGAAAACAAGTGTTGTAAGGGAAATACGATTTGTGAGGGGAAATGCACGTTGTGAGGAGAAACCAGCTATGTGAGGGGAGGCCCACATTGCCCTCGTCAAGTGCCCTCACCTGAGGCCACATTTGGTGACAACAAAGATGGCGACGGTGATGAGGATGCCAACCGCCACCACAATGGCTACGATCCACCACTCCAAGGACGTCACCACTGCACGAAATAATCAGAATTAAATACGAATCATTTATTTCTGGTTATTTTCTGAGTCGTTTATTTCTGACTGCACGAAGTCGTTTATTATTTACTACGACATTCGTGACATTAACAATTATGTTTATCACGAAATCAATTCTGCACCTTAGACGGCTGCCACTACAGAGTATTGTTTATCATTGTGGTACAGGGCCTCTCTAGGTGAGGACAACAGCAACTAGGCATGTTGCAGGGCCTCTCTAGGCAGGGACAACAGTAACTAGACATGTTGCAGGGCCTCTCTAGGCAAGACAACAGTAACTAGGCATGTTGCAGGGCCTCTCTAGGCAGGGACAAGAGTACTAGACATGTTGCAGGGCCTCTCTAGGAAGGGACAACAGTACTAGGCATGTTGCATGGCCTCCCTAGGCAGGGACAACAGTAACTAGACATGTTGCAGGGCCTCTCTAGGCAGGGAAAACAGCACTAGGCATGGTACAGGGCCTCTCTAGGCAGGGACAACAGTACTAGGCATGTTGCAGGGCCTCTCTAGGCAGGGATAACAGTACTAGGCATGGTACAGGGCCTCTCTAGGCAGGGACAACAGTAACTAGACATGTTGCAGGGCCTCTCTAGGCAGGTACAACAACTAGACATGTTGCAGGGCCTCTCTAGGCCCTCCCTCTCACCCGACACGACGCAGGGCTCCTCCTTGACATGCCAGGGGCCGTGTAGGGGCGCCCCCAGGTCGTCGACGCCGGTCGCCCTCACGGAGACGTTCAGAGGCTGCCCGCTGACGCACGTCAGGTTCAGGCCCCGCAGACTGAGGGCGTGCTCTCCTGCAGGTTATGGTAGGTTACTAATAAATGGTAGGTTACTGTATACTTTATTCTTAGTATTGCTGGGGGACTACTTCATAATCACTTTCTCACACGGTCAGGAAAGGTTCAGTTAAGATAGGACACTGAGTATTTACACAGTATTTATTAACACAAATCTGTACACTTGCGTTGTGCCCTTGTAGTCCTTACCAGCTAAAGTCTAAAACATGAATGACTGAATTCCGGATGTTTGCATAACCTAAATTGCGGAACTGAAAGTCTGAATGAAAATGGAAAACTGCTGCCACGAAACATGAATAAATTTAAACAATTCCCTAACAGTATTTAAGAGAACACTTAAATATAACTATTAAACACACAGTTTATCTGAGCGCGTGCTCTCCTGCAGGAGGGGGCAGGGTGAGGGTACTGGTAGCTTATTGTACACATTGTTCTTAGTATTTAAGGGAAACATTTATATATAAAAATCAATTATTAAACGTGAATATTTTTCTCAGTATTTAAGGGAGCACTTATATATAAAGAATAATTATTAAATGTGAACATTGTTCTTAGTATTTAAGAGAACCCTTATATATTAAGAATAATTATTAAACGTGAACATTGTTCTCAGTATTTAAGGGAAAGACTTAAATATTAAGAATAACTATTAAACACACAGATTATTCTTAGTATTTAAGGGAAACATTTATAAATATAAGAACTTCCAGTATAATTTCAGGACACTTATTACGTGTTACTTTAGAGGTGTCTGTGAATATGTGGTTCCAGTTACAAGAGATTGTTCACCATGAAATTTTCTTATTCAATTCATATCATTCTTCGATATTCTGACTCATCAATCGCAAAGCAAGCTCAACATTAAATGAACTTATTTTCAACTACAAGTCAAAATTTGGAGTTTCAAGTTTCGCCATTCTGCAAATATTAATGCAAGCTAATATAACCCACGATATCTTTCATATTCACAAGAAATATACAAAAACAACACAAGCTATGACCCACTTATCGCTGTGTAGGTGTGCACGGTGTCCTTGTTAACCGGTGATATCTTTCATATACACAACAAATATACAAAAAGGCAGAAGAGCACCCATTTATCGCTGTGTAGGTGTGCATGGTGTCGTTGTTTTCACAATACATATACACAAACAACACAAGTTAAGACTCACTTATCCCCGTATAGGTGTGCACGGTGTCGTTATTAAACACAAACAACACAAGTTAAGACTCACTTATCCCTGTGTAGGTTTGTGTGGTATCGTTGTTTTCATAACAAATATACACAAAAGACAGAAGACCACTCACTTATCCCCGTATAGGTGTGCACGGTGTCGTTGTTTTCACAACAAATATACAAAAACAACACAAGCTAAGCCTCACTTATCCCCGTGTAGGTGTGTACGGTAACGTTGTTTTCACAACAAATATACAAACAACACAAGTTATGACCCACTTATCCCCGTATACGTGTGCACGGTGGCCTTGCTTTTACAACACACATACAAAAACAACACAAGCTAAGACCCACTTATCCCGTTGTATGTGTTTGTGGTGGCCTTGTTAACCGGTGATATCTTTCATATACACAAGACATATACAAAAAAGACAGAAGACCACTCACTTATCCCGGTATACGAGTGCACGGTGTCGTTATTGACGACGATGACGTCGAAGGAGCAGGAGGCGCTGTGGCAGAGGTCGGGGGTGTAGGCCCAGGACATCCTGCCGTCACGGCGGCTCACGCTCAACTGCTCTACCTTCTCTGGTACTGCACAATGTATATAAAATGTGTTAAAATTAATTTTATTTGAGAGTAAATGCAATGTATCAGAATTAACTTTATTTGAAATAAAAAGTGAAACAACAAACATACATCTACCTTCTCTGGCACTGCATAGTGTACAGACAATGTATTAACATTAGGTCTATTTGAAATGGAAAGTGAAAAAATACTCATACATCTACCTTCTGTGGTACCTAGAAGGTACCAGAGTACCTAACACTAGTGTAAGACTTGTGAGACTAGTGTAAGACTAGTGAGACTAGTGTAGGCGAGTGAGACTAGTGTAAGACTAGTGTGAGACTAGTGTAAGACTAGTGACACTAGTGTAAGACTAGTGAGACTAGTGCAAGACTAGTGTAAGACTAGTGTAGACTAGTTTAGACTAGTGAGACTAGTGTAAGACTAGTGAGACTAGTGAGACCAGTGTAAGATTAGTGTAGACTAGTGTAGACTTGTAAGACTAGTGAGACCAGTGTAAGATTAGTGTAGACTAGTGTAGACTTGTAAGACTAGTGAGACCAGTGTAAGACTAGTGAGACTAGTGAGACCAGTGTAAGATTAGTGTAGACTAGTGTAGACTTGTAAGACTAGTGAGACTAGTCACAACTCACGGCCTGGTCGCGTGGTCGCCCCCGCCACGGCGCTGTGGTTGACGGCACAACCTGCCCTGGTGCAGGCCACCACCAGCACCTGGTAGGCCTGGTAGGGCCGTAAGTCCCGCAGCACAACCTGGGCACAATGGGAACAATAGCGACATGGGGACAAGGGGAACAATAGCGACCTGGGCACAAGGGGAACAATAACTGCCTGGGCACAAGGGGAACAATAACCACCTGGGCNTATCACATAACACATAAGAACACATAAGAACACAAGATAATATCACATAACACATAAGAACACATAAGAACACAAGATAATATCACATAACACATAAGAACACATAAGAACACAAGATAATATCACATAACACATAAGAACACATAAGAACACAAGATAATATCACATAACACATAAGAACACATAAGAACACAAGATAATATCACATAACACATAAGAACACATAAGAACACAAGATAATATCACATAACACATAAGAACACATAAGAACACAAGATAATATCACATAACACATAAGAACACATAAGAACACAAGATAATATCACATAACACATAAGAACACATAAGAACACAAGATAATATCACATAACACATAAGAACACATAAGAACACAAGATAATATCACATAACACATAAGAACACATAAGAACACAAGATAATATCACATAACACATAAGAACACATAAGAACACAAGATAATATCACATAACACATAAGAACACATAAGAACACAAGATAATATCACATAACACATAAGAACACATAAGAACACAAGATAATATCACATAACACATAAGAACACATAAGAACACAAGATAATATCACATAACACATAAGAACACATAAGAACACAAGATAATATCACATAACACATAAGAACACATAAGAACACAAGATAATATCACATAACACATAAGAACACATAAGAACACAAGATAATATCACATAACACATAAGAACACATAAGAACACAAGATAATATCACATAACACATAAGAACACATAAGAACACAAGATAATATCACATAACACATAAGAACACATAAGAACACAAGATAATATCACATAACACATAAGAACACATAAGAACACAAGATAATATCACATAACACATAAGAACACATAAGAACACAAGATAATATCACATAACACATAAGAACACATAAGAACACAAGATAATATCACATAACACATAAGAACACATAAGAACACAAGATAATATCACATAACACATAAGAACACATAAGAACACAAGATAATATCACATAACACATAAGAACACATAAGAACACAAGATAATATCACATAACACATAAGAACACATAAGAACACAAGATAATATCACATAACACATAAGAACACATAAGAACACAAGAAATATCACAGCACGCCATGTTTCGCACCTGCGTGTCACGCCCCGCGACCCGTACCACTCCTGACGGGGGGGAGGTGGTCACTTGGTAGGCGACCAGCTGCCCGTTGGTGGTGACGTCCAGGGGCGACGTCCACTGCAACGTCAGGGACGTGTTGGTGCGGGACGTCACGGCCAGGGACTGGGGCGGTCCCTCCGGCACTAGGGACGGGGACCATGTTATATTAATATATAAATATTGTATTTTCAATATTGATGTATAAACATCACATTCGTGTATAATAAAACTCAACATTAATGTTCAAACATCATATTCTGAATATTAATGTACAAAAATCAAATTCATGTGCAATAAAAAGTGAATAGTAATGTATAAAGATCACATTCATGTGTAATAAAAACTCGATACTAATGTACAAACATCACATTCTCAATACTGATGTACAAACATCACATTTGTGTGCAATAAAAACATAATATTAATGTACAAATAAAAATTAAAATAGTTATTTGTGCAACAATTTTATTCCCAGTTAGCAGCTTAGCCTGGGCTTCATAGTTCATGCAGTTTTGGTATCCTGATAAACGCGATCCAGTAATCCCTAATCATTCCTATTATAATAAAAACTTCTCATTGCAAAACAATGAAAAACTAAATTTCGTCTTAAAAATTAAATTAAATGTACCAGTTACGAAATTAAATTTAAATCCAGTAATCTCTAAACATTCCTATTATAATAAAAAACTTAATCTCATTGCAAAACAAGGAAAAGCTATTTTTCGTCTTTAAAATCAAATTAAATATAGGTACAAGTTATGAAATTAAATTTAAATCCATTAATCCCAAATCCTTCCTATTATAAGAAAAAATTTAAAATCTCATTTCAAAATAATGAAAAGATACTTTTCGTCTTTAAAACCAAATTAAATGCATCACTTACGAAATTAAATTTTTAAATCCAGTAATCCCATATCATTTCTATTATTAGAAAATAATTTAATCTCATTTCAAATCACTGAAAAGCTCTTTTTCGTCTTTAAAATCAAATTAAATATACGAGTTAATTTAAATTTTTATAAATGAATGTGACAGTTACCGTCTTCAGGGAGTTCCAAAACAAAGAAAAAATATTTTTTTTTAAATCTAATGAAATAATTAATAATTATTAATTAATATATATAATAAATTCATTAATTTTGAAATCAAATGAAATATAGCAGTTAATTGAAATATTGAACATGAAGGTGACAGTTACCGTCCTCAGGGAATTCCAAAACAATGAAAAAATTATTTTCGTCTTTAAAATCAAATTAAATGTATAAGATTAAATTTAAAATTAACATGGGATTTAATTTAAATTAAATTAAGTTAAATATTTATATATAAATGTGACAGTTACCGTCTTCAGGAAATTCCAAAACAATGAAAAAAAATTTTTGTCTTTAAAATCTAATGAAATATACTAGGTAGTCAATTTAAAATTTTTTTTTTTCAAAACAATGAAAAAAATTTTGTTTTTTAAATTAAATTGAATGTAGCAGTTAATTTAAATTTTTATAAATGAATGTGAGAGTTACCGTCTTCAGGGGAATTTCAAACCAATGAAAAAATAATTTTCGTCTTTAAAATCTAATGAAATATACTAGTTAATTTAAATTTTTTATTTCAAAACAATGAAAAAATGTTTGTTTTTAAAATCAAATTGAATGTAGCAGCTAATTCAAATATTGAACATGAATGTGATAGTTACCGTCCTCAGGGGATTCCAAAAAAATGAAAAAATATTTTTCGTCTTTAAAATCAAATTAAATGTTTATTATTAAATTTAAAATTAACTTAATTTAAATTCATTTAAATTTTTGACATGAATGTGACAGTTACCGTCTTCAGGGAGTTCCAAAACAATGCAAAAAATAATTTTCGTCTATAAAATCTAATGAAATATAGCAGTTAAGTTAAATATTGTATATAAAGGTCACAGTTACCGCACCGTCTTCAGGGAATTCCAAAACAATGAAAAAATCATTTTTAATTTTAAAATCTAATGAAATATACGAGTTAATTTAAAATTTTTATAAATGAATGTGACAGTTACCGTCTTCAGGGAGCGTGAGCCGTACAGGCACGGAGTCACGGCTCGTGCCCACGACAGACACGACAGACAGGTAGAACATGACGGTTGACGACGGCCGTAGCCCGTCTATCACGGCCGGTCCCGTCAACGGTCTCTCCTCGACCGTCACTGTAGATAAACATGACGTTAACATCTTGTTGTCTGATAACAAACTTTTTTTTTTTTGTTGACAGTGTTATATGTTGTTATCTATTTTGTTGATATTGTTATGTATTGTGATCTATTTTGTTGATATTGTTATGTATTGTTATCTATCTATTTGTTGACATTGTTATGTATTGTTATCTATCTATTTTGTTGACATTGTTATCTATCACAACCCATCTACAGACCACAACCCACCATCTACAGACCACAACCCACCACCTACAGACCACAACCCACCACCTACAGACCACAACCCACCACCTACAGACCACAACCCACCACCTACAGACCACAACCCACCGTTGGTGTCGCATCTGGCGGCGTCGGGGCTGGCGGCGGGTCCGGTCTCGCAGAAGGAGATCCGGACGTAGAGCGGGACCGCCGACTTGTCGGGACACTCGAAGTTCCACGACAACTTCACCGACCGCGACGACCTGTCGGGACAACAATTAGTTAATTGAGAACAATTATTGTCGGCAGTCAGTTCATTGACAACAATTAATGTCGGTACCGTGATGACGTGTTTATAACACGGTACCGTGATGACATGTATTATATAACACGATACCGTAACCACGTGTACCACAACACGGTACCGTGATGACGTATATTATGTAACACGGTACCATGATGACGTGTATATAACACGCTACCGTGATGACATGTATTATATAATACGATACCGTGATGACATGTATTATATAACACGGTACCGTGAAGACGTGTATATAATAACACGGTACCGTGATGACGTGTACCACAACACGGTACCGTGATGACATGTCTTATATAACACGCTACCGTGATGACATGTATTATATAACACGCTACCGTGATGACATGTATTATATAACACGGTACCGTGATGCCGTGTACCACAACACGGCACCATGAAGACGTACAGACAGTCAGCGCTAGGGGCGCGAGGTGCAGGAGGGCTGTCGTCGTATGGCACGGAGCAGGTCGCCCACTTGATGCCACTGGACATGCCACTGGCGGCGATGGCAGCGATGCCGAACTGTCTGTTCTGCGGCAGGTCGGTCATGTTCCTCTCGTAGAGCAGCCCTAGGGCACCTGCACCCAGGCTGTGGTGCAGGTTCTGGTCACGGACCCGGTAGGACTCGAGGTTCTGGCCCGTAGATTCCCATTGCAGGTCCTCCTGGAATGGGAATAAAGGGTCATGTCACGGACACGGTAGAAGTCCAGGTTCTTGTTCCCATTGAAGGTCCTCCTGGAATGGGAATAAAGGTTCATGTCACGGACACGCTAGGACTCTAGGTTCTGGCCCGTAGATTCCCATTGCAGGTCCTCCTGGAATGGGAATAAAGCGCTGGTTTGGTGGTATGAAATGGAATAAAGTGTAATTATTTATTTTGCTCGAATATTGCCATTGTAGGTCCACCTGATAAAAGATTATGTTGATTATCACTGCATACGACATACTGATAAGAGACCATCATTGCATAACTGAGGATTTGCTGATGATATATGAAGTGCATCGTTCTTCAAGTAGGTTCTTCGACATCTTCCTCGCCATCGTCTTAAAATGATAATTCTAATCCAATGTCTAACCACGGAAATTCTACAGCATCACCCCACCATCACCCCGCCATCTATCAACAGCATCACCCCGCCACCCGCCACCATACCTTGCAGCGCCATCACCCCGCCATCACCCCCACCATCATCTACACCATCACCCTGCCATCATCTACACCATCACCCCACCATCACCCACGCCACCACCCCACCACCACCACCACCACCCCGCCACCGCCACCCTACCTCGCAGCGCAGGTCGAAGGTGGGCTTGGGGCACCAGAAGAAGGTGTAGCTCACGACGGGGTCGGTCCCCACGGGGCTGTGCTCGGTCCCCAGCTGCAGGGGCGGCTTCCACATGAGCCTGTAGAGGAGCCGGTCTTGTTCGGTCTTGTATTTGATGACCGTGAAGACCTCGGGCACGTCGGGCGTCAGGGACGTGGGGGGCACCAAGACCACCGAGTGGGCGGGCGCCGCCCCCACGTCGTTCACGGCAGTTATTTCGAAGCTGGAATAACAAAAAAAAATTACAATAATAACAAAAAATAACAGCAATAAATTGGTATTGATCCACTGATAGAATGACGATAATAAGATTTTAAAAAATGCCACATGCCATATGCCAGATGCTATTGTTTAATAATGCCACACGCCACGGGCTCACCTGTAGGAGACGTTCTTCGCCATCTGGGGGAACTTGGCGTAGGTGCGATACGCGATGACGGGGGACGGGCTGGGGGACCTGGGGGAGGGGGTGGGGTAATGATAGATGATAACAATTCTATAGATGATAACAAACATCTAGAGTATTGAATATACTTCAAACAAAAAAAAAATTATAATAATAATAATCAGGAAAACGAAAAACCCTGCAGATATAAATAAGTCAGAAGTTACACTGAGAGAACTAAGCAAATCAAAGTAAAATAATTGAATGAAACAAACGTTGGAATAAGAATGAAATATGAGAAATAATTTAGTATAGGGAATGATGTAAGTAGGAACCGAATTTGAGAAGTAATGCAACACGTTGACTCCGAAATGGTACATATGCGTACCACGAAATGCATTTGTCCAGGAGGTAGTGGTACATAATTCAGGTTGCCTAAAATCGGCCAAATCCGAGAACAAAAAAGGCCAAAAAAGGCCGATAACTCAATATATGCTAGTTTATTTTTAGGTTTTACTATAAAAATTCCATTTATTTTCTTTTTGATGTATTTAAAATTTAATTAGGAAGTACCCCTATCATAAATTTTAGCCGGCCAACGCAATTGAGAAAAACTAAATCACGGAATTTGTCCGGAAAAAATAACCGTCTGGCAACCCTGCTTAAAAACAGTACAAAAAATGAAATAATAGTACAAGATGAAGCAATCGTAGTCAACGTGTTAATAAAAGTAATAACGTAAATAAAAGAAGTACTGACGCGGCGGGAGGGTCGGCGGTGGCCAGGACCCTGTAATGGAAGTCGGGTCCGTTCTCGTGCAGCGGGTCCAGCTGGCGCCAGTACACGAACACGTCCCGGGACTCAATGTAGTCGTGGGTCTCGTAGCTGCTCGGGTCTACTGAGACGTTCAGCTCGGGACCTGAGACGTGATTAGTATTAGTGATAATATGAATTAATAATAATAGTTAATATTAATAATAGAAATAAATAATGATAGTCCAGCTGGCGCCAGTACACGAACACGTCCCGGGACTCAATGTAGTCGTGGGTCTCGTAACTGCTCGGGTCCACTGACACGTTCAGCTCGGGACCTGAGACGTGATTGGTAATAGTGATGATAGGAATAAATAATAATAGTTAATAGTAATAATATGAATTAATAATTATACCTACTTAATAGTAATAATAAGGATTGTCTGAATTGATAATTATAGTTAATAGCAACAATAAGAATTAATAATAATAGTTGATAGTAATAAGAAGAATTGATAATAGTTAATAGTGGGATAGGGGGATCAAAATCATATTTTCCTGTTACCAATAACTTGAACATAATTTTTTTCTTCAATTATTCATTTTTTTCGATTTCTCAAATTTCAAAAATTTTAAAATTCGAACAAAATAACTGATTAAAATGCTGGCGTATTTAATGTGATTTAAATATTTTAATGTATTTTGTTGCATACTAAATAAATTAATAAATAAATTCATTAATTTTACATAATAATAAATAAATATAAATTGATGTTGTAAACTAACGGGCTGAGAGGGTGGTGACCCTGACGAAGGCGGGCTGGGACCAGAAGTCGTCCCTGACGGGGCCCTGGCCCGTGTGTAGACGTACACGTAGCTCGTAGGGCACGTGCTTGTAGGGCAGGGGCACGTGTGCGTGGTATACGTGCTTCTCCACCGCCCCAGCAGGAGTGGTCACCTCCACGTACGTGGCGGGGGACACCGTCTGGGGGACATGGGGGAGTGGGGTGAGAGGGTGCGAGGGGCTCTTAATAATATCAATGATAATAATAACAATAATCTGGTTGATTTATGGTAACAACAATAATAATTATAATTAAAAAATAATAATATTAATAATTGTAATAGTAATTTTAATAATAATATTAATATTAATAATAGTAACAATAACAATGCCAATAATAATAATAGTATTAATAAAAACAATAATAATAAAAATAGTATTAATAATAACAATAACACTAATAATAATACTATTATTAATAACAATAACAACAATGATAATAATAGTAACAATAATAGTACCTAACAATAATAAATATGGTAAGTACCTTGGTCCAGCTGAAGGAGGGCAGGACGCGCCAGGCCAGCTCCTGCAGGAGGGGGGCGGGGAAGGCGTCCATGCGGTGGTCCAGCTGCCACGTGAGGCTCGCCCCCGCCACCCCCACCTCTGTCGCGTTCACCCATGGGGGAGGGGACGGTACCACTGGGGGAACATGGGGGGTAAGTGCTAACGCTGGGGGAACATGTGGGGTAAGAAATAAATGACGCTGGGGGAACGTGCGGGGTACTTACTAACGCTGGGGGAACAGGGATGGTAAATACCAAGTGACGTTGGGGGAATATGGGGGAATGAATATGGCAGAAGTAAAGATGTAAGGTAGGTTAAATGGGTGAATCACAGGTATGGGTGAATTAGGTAAGAATGCATATGGCAAAATAATAAGACTAATTTTAGAAGTAAGTAAAAATACACCTTATGGGTGTGGGGACACCCAGGGCAGCACCCAACTCACCCACGCTGTACACATCGACGTCGTGGGTGAAGTTACGTACACCCAGACTGTTGCTGGCAGTGATGAGTACGTAAAATAATAAGACTAATTTTAGAAGTAAAGATACACCTTATGGGTGTAGGGACACCCAAGGCAGCACCCAACTCACCTACGCTGTACACATCGACGTCGTGGGTGAAGTTCCGTACACCCAGACTGTTGCTGGCAGTGATGAGTATGGTGACGTTGGCACGGGTGCCGTAGTTACGGTCAGACTCGAGCTTGAACCAATTCTGGCGCTGGCTTACGCCCTCGATAGGACTGTGTATGTTAACAAAATAATAATTATATATTATATAATAATTTTTTATCGTAGCCATTAATTTCATTCACCATGTTAACAAAAATAATTATAGATTACATTATAATTTTTTCTCGTAGCTATTAATTTCATTCATTAACCGAGTACACAAATGCATCTATATATAGTAACCACCCATTACTTAGTTATCCAGCTACTACCTATAGTCTTCAGCCACCTGATTTGTACCAATGCAACTAGCAACCAAACACTATATACCTAATTAGCACCCATTATTTAGTAACCACCCACTATCTAGTAACCACCCACTATCTAGTAACCACCCACTACCTAGTCACCACCCACTACCTAGTCACCAGCCACTACCTAGTCACCACCCACTACCTAGTAACCACCCTCTAGATAGTGGGTAGTTACACCCACAGGGGAAAGAGGGATGGTAAAGAATAAGAACCAGCCTCTACCTAGTCACCACCCACTACCTAGTAACCACCCACTACCTAGTAACCACCCACTACCTAGTCACTAGTCACCTGAGCTGCACTAGGTTCCTGACGAAGAAGTAGAAGGTGTAGTTCGTGTTGATGGGGTTCAGGGGGCGCCTCCAGGAGCAGTTCAGGTAGGACCAGTTGGGGGACACGCACCCGAAGTCTTCCAGGGGCAGCGGTGCATCTGGTAGGTGATATATTAATATATTAAATTACATTAAACTCTTATTTAGCGTGCGAACATCAACGACCAAAACAAGGCCCATAAAATTCATCAAAAACACACACTGGTCCGATTTTATACCTTCACAAAAGCACACTGGTCCTTTAAACCTTCAGAAACACTATAAGTCCTTCACCAACAAGCGTGAGAAACATGGCCATCATTGAAACATACGATACCATGCTTTTCAACCAACAAACCCTCCCGCCAAACGCCACTGCAAAGCAACAGCTATAAAACAAACAATTAAAAAAACAATTAAAATAGGCCTCCTATAGGCCTCCAACCCTACCCCACAAACTACCCTTCACTGTTCTAACCCCCAACACTTCGGGCCATTTGCACTATACTGTCTTTTAAATTTCTTCTTCATCTGTCTTGCGTTTTTAAACACTTTCCCATGTGGTATACAGCACCATCATCACCACCACACTAACAACTTACTGGGCATTCATGCAGAATGACATCAGTGCATCCTTTACAAGAAACTTAATGTTGAAATACAAAGATCAATAATAATAACATCAATTATTATCAATATGAAGATAATAATATCAATTAATGTAAAACATCCAAACATTTAAAATTATTAATAAATGTTTTTGCATCCACAGATCAATTATGGCTTTGGCAAATAAAAGAATGAAGATGTTATTTGAATAAAATAAATAGTGAAAATAAAACTTAATTATAATAATGTACAAAAAATATTCAACTATCCTGTGTGTCTAGACTTTATAGACACACAGTAGTACAGCCAACAGCTTGTACTCTATATTTAAGGCTCTACTCCCATCCGAAATCGACATTTTTGAGGCACGCGTTAGTCCTATTCGAATAAAATAAATAGTGAAAATAAGACTAAATTTTAATAATATACAAAAAATATTCAAGTATCGTGTGTATGAGATAACTTTATGATATTTAAGGCTCTACTCACATCCGAAATTAACATTTTTGAGGCACGCGTTAATCCTATTCGAATAAAATAAATAGTGAAAATAAAACTTAATTAATAATAAAATACAAAAAATATTCAATTATCCTATGTGATATGATATCCTATGTGACTTTATGATATTTAAGGTTCTACTCACATCCGAAATCGACATTTTTGAGGCACGCGGTAGTCCATTTGTTGCTGCCGTCTTCGCGATAGGAACAGGAAAGCTTGAACTCGTCGGGGGCGCTGCGGGACAGCGTCGTCTTGATGGTAGACGCGTTCACCCGCTGAGGGTAGAGTGAGGGGAGTTCAGAGGGTAGAGTGAGGGGAGTTCAGAGGGTAGAGTGAGGGGAGTTCAGAGGGTAGAGTGAGGGGAGTTCAGAGGGTCAGACTGAGAGACGATCTGATATGAATAACAAGAATTAGTAGAAGTGATATGAATGAGAACAAAGAGAAGAACTGATAAGACGTAAATAATTTGGAGGAATTGAAATGGAGCTAAGAAAAACAAGTTTTGGGAATGAGAGAAAACTGTTAGTACGAGATAATTTCAGTTTGAATCTGCGACTGATGAAACTGCCAAGTGATAATGAAACTGCCGACTGATGATGAAACTGTCAAGTGATAATGAACTGCAGACTGATGATGAAACTGTCAAGTGATAATGAACTGCAGACTGATGATGAAACTGTCAAGTGATAATGAACTGCAGACTGATNTGATGATGAAACTGTCAAGTGCTAATGAAACTGTCAATTGATGATGAAACTGTCAACTGATGATGAAACTGTCAAGTGCTAATGAAACTGTCAAGTGATAATGAAACTGTCAAGTGATAATGAAACTGTCAACTGATGATGAAACTGTCAAGTGCTAATGAAACTGTCAAGTGATAATGAAACTGCCTACTGCTAATGAAACTGTCAGCTGATAATGAAACTGTCAACTTATAATGAAACTAACCTCGACATCCAAAGTTTCATATCCAGCCTGCCGACTCAGCGTGCGGAAGCTGACGTTAGCGTTGGCGAGCTCCGAGCTGTTGAAGTTGCAGTAAACCTCCAACTCCTGTCCAACTTCTACCTCCATGTCCAGCCGCGGGACAATCTCTGAATACCGGAATATTAAATAAAATTAAAAACAATATTTAGGCTGTTATATGGAGTCATACTAATAATCATTTCTTGAAATGGTATTACTAATGTACTAACTAAACACATTACTAACTTACTAACTAATTACCAACTTGTTATCCATGGTAATTAGTTAGTAAGTTGTCCAACTTCTTGTCCAACTTCTACCTCCATGTCCACCCTCGGGACAATCTCTGAATACCGAAATATTCAATAAAATTAAGAAAAATACTAATGGTATTACTAATATACTAACTAAATACATTACTAATTACTAACTAATTACCAAAAAATACTAATGTATGGAGTCATGTTCATAATAATTTCAATTTGATTAACGAAACAGTATGATGACCAAAGTAATAAAATTAATCTTAAGATAAACCATAACAATTAATAACATGATGTACATGAGTCGTTTCGTGAAATTGAATACAAATTAATTGATCTTATAATAAAAATAAATCCACAAGTTAATAGTTAGACACATCAGTTTTATTACAATCAAATGCTTCCTGAACATGGACAAGTGTTTAGTGCACGTGAAATTGAATACAAATTAACTGATCTTATAATAAAAATAAATCCACAAGTTATCGGTTAGACACATCAGTTTTAATACAATCAAATGCTTCCTGAACATGGACAAGTGTTTAATGCATAATTTCAGCAGATATAAGCATATGCATAAACATATTACCCCAGACAGAAGGTTGTTCGGGAAATACAGACTTTCACCACATCGATCTATCATTATCGCAAAAGCGTAAATTTATGCACATAAAGCTATATAATTCTAGGATAGTGGCATCACAATTCCATAGCAGCATCCGTCATAGCTGCATTGTATGGAGATTTATTACTGGAAATGAGACGGTACTAACGTATACGAGGCTACTTATACGAATACACTGTTAGAAAAATAACGAAAAAACGGTCCCATGCACTGGCGTTCTGTAGTGGCCGGTCGCCGCCGTGAAAATAAACTGTTTCGCCGTTTTTATCAGATGTTTTACGGATTTCTACCGTTAAATTAGAATAAAAACGGCGACACTGTGTTTCTTTTCACGTGCCGACCGGCCACTGAAACGCCGGTAATACCGTTAACGGGGTAATTTTTCTAACAGTGTATGCCCTTGACGTCGAATATACACTATAAAAGAAACAGTACGTGGGGTGCACGCACGGGGGAAAACATGTATATAGGTATGCATGTGGGTGAAACTTTTGGGGCACGCATGTAGGGAAGCATGTGGGCATCAAGCAATATGTATATAGTATACATGGGTATCACAAGTCGAATATGATCGAGGCCTGTATTATATATGTGTGCCTAATTAAATGTGATTAAATGCATGAAAACCGTGGCTACAACGGACAAAATTAAGTGGGGCCAGCATTATATTCCCATTTATATAGGCCATTGTAGCTGAGCTTATAGCTTATAAGTATAATCTATATACAATATTACCTACGTGAGCTACATTCATGTTTCGAAAGCCACATATTATACAATGTGAAACCCTTGGGCTGGGGTTGGTATATTGAGTGCAGAGTATTACTGTCATGAATACAATTTACGAGGCATGTGGGCAAGGAGTATTCATCCGGACTTTACATCCATGTAGAAATTCGGTAACCGATTGTAAAAACACGCGTGATATGTCGAATGTTCACTATGTAGTATACATGAAGCCAACAGAGTTATGTCAAAAAGGAGAAATACATAGTAAGTTAGGGTATACTGACAAAGTAGATTGCAGTCAGTAATTGGGGATTGCAGTCAGTGCAGTCAAAAGGTCATTACGCAACTCACGACGGCGTATAGAAACTTCAAAAAAGTGTTACGACCGTTAAAAGTGTCATGACCGTTATTTCATAGTTAAACAGAACAATTAAGAGAAATCAAGTTAAATTTACCTAAGTTATACAATTTAAATTGATCAAAACACACAGCCAAGTGGTTCCGGGAAAACGACATCGATGTCAAGGAATGGTCAAATTTAATTACTTCAAAGACCAAGTCTCAGATAACAATACAGAAAAGTTCAAATGCAAGGAGAAAGTACAATAATACCGGTATCACAGAACTGACGGTGGTCTGAGAAAACCAAAGGATTATTCTTCTCGCGAAAAGTTCATGCGAAAAAGCTCTTATACAAACTACGGACGCAGACTCGCGAGTATCTGGTACAAGTTATTTTATTAGATCTAACTAACAATTACCCTAATGTTCTACGTTAACCCATTTTATTTTTTTAGAGGAACTGTCCTTTTTTGCTTTATTTACTGTTGATGATCATTAATAACGAGTGCGCAAATTTTCATTTCGAATTACCGTTTCTAAGTGAAGAAGTAATATATTTAACATACTATACTCACGCTAAACGCTGCGTGTACAGAATATATTAATATTCTAGTGAACAAGCATTTAGGATACAGTGTCACAAGGAGGATGGCTATAGGATACAAAGGATTCGAATAGCGATTATTAGACGAAAGAAGGGAAAGCATTACAATACCGAAGGATACGGCAGGTTTCGGATCAGGACAATGAGATGTTAACGAATGGATGACATGATACTGGACCATCGTGGTTATGTCGACATTAGTATAAGAGGTCGTGGTTATGTCGACATTAGTGTAAGCGGTCGTGGTTATGTCGACATTAGTGTAAGCGGTCGTGGTTATGTTGACATTATTTATAGTTACTGGCGTTGCTGCGGTAGGACAAGACGCCCTAATTGTTAAGAAACTTAGGCATATATAATATATAATTAGGTGTCGATTTATAAGCCACTGATAATATTCCAATTTTCAAGATTAGAGAACATAATGTTAACACCACGATGTTGTTAACTCGATAATAGGTTTTGCTAGAAATCAGGTTAAAATATTCAAATCCAATTACTGTTGGCTAATCAACCTTAATTTCAAAATAAGTAAGTAACTGCAGTTCCATGCAGTCAAAAAATAAACTTCGAATGTTATAGTTAACTGCAGTCAATTCAAACTACGAACGTACTTCACTGCACGCTTAAATATAAGATTCGAAAAAATGCCTTGTCTGATGTCACTGAAAAATAAATAAAGCGCACAGTTATACTCTTGCCCCAAAGTTTTCACTTTTAGAAAAAAACGGTGAAAAAACGGTCCCACAGGCATTCTAGTGGCCGGTCGCCCCGTAAAAATAAACTGTTCCGCCGTTTATATCAGATGTTTTACGGATTTCTAGTGTTAAATTATAATAAAAACGGCGACACGGTGTTTCTTTTCACGTGCCGACCGGCCACTTAAATGCCGGTAATACCGTTAACGGTAATTTTTCTAACAGTGTATAAAAACTGACGACAAAACACAAAATAAATGCCGGCGCCAAAAAAATTTAAATACCATTAAAAGTTGGGAAACCAAGCTATAAAAAGAAAGACAATCAAAAACAGAAAAATAATTACACTTTATAGTACATAAAAACGTTTAAATAGCGCCGATAACGTGACATTACGACAAAAACGTTAAAAACAACAGGACACGTTATATAGCAGGCTCAACAGAAGCTGCATCATAATAAACTTTCAACTTCTACGTATAATGCTAATTAGTTATGAATATAAAAGTTAGCGAAATACTGTGGTGCTAAGAAATTACGAATCTCATATGTTAATACGTATACAGAGTATTCCCATCGCAAATAAATAAACTCTGAAAATTTCTCATAAGGAATACACTCTCAGGTCTCAAACTTTCAGAAAACTTTAAAAAAGTTATAGCTAATTTTTCCACAAAAAACTGATTAGGGCGTTCAAAAACAAAAATCGTTAAGTAATGAAAAATAAAGCACCTGAAAATTTCTCATACGGAATACACTCTCAGGTCCCAAACTTTCAGAAAACTTAAAAAAAAGTTATAGCTAATTTCTCCACAAAAAAATCAATTGGGGCATTTTGAAAACAAAAATCGTTAAGTAATGAAAAATCAAGCACATCACATCGTGTTAATTGGGGTAAAAGCCAACGGTAAACATGGCATTTACCTCCGAGCGCTTGGCTGCGATGGCTGTGGCGGTGCGAACGACTGTGGCGAATGGCGTGATGGCCACTAGCTGTGGCGTGAGAGTGAGAGTGCGTGGCCACAGTGGCATAGAGTGAACAATAGGTAAGGAAAAGGGTGAGGTAAGGTATAGGTACAGATAAACGGCATAGAGTGGTAATAGATAAGGCATAGGGAACAGATATGTGGCTACAGTGGCATAGAGTGAACAATAGGTAAGGAAAAGGGTGAGGTAAGACATAGGTACAGATAAACGGCATATAGTGGAAATAGATAAGGCATAGGGAACAGGTATGGATAAGGTATCAAGTCACAGAGATAAGGGTTTGAGGGGAAAAAGTATCCAAAGGGAAGGCTAGCAACTGTACAAGATATCTAGGTAACAATATATATTAGAAGATCTACAGTAACAGCAACATTTTCCAAATCTACGATAAAATTGGAGTTGAGAAAAATATTATAGGTCGACACAAGAAAAAGACATTAGGAGTAGCCTAAAGAATGATTTTTTTACAAAAGAAAAATACAAATTTGAAAGCAAATGAAAAAAGGAGTGAAACATGGTGCAAGGTCTTAGTTGAAGGAGTGCTCCTATACCCATGCATAGCAAGCAATATATTACGCAATATCGTTGCATATCAACAGCTGATAAGCTAGCACCACCTAACTTCGTATGGCACCAGAAATTTTAGTAAAATATATATATTCGACGAGGCATTAAGAACCGAAACTCGGATGTCTAATAGTCTTAACTCTGAAGGTGTTCGTAACTGTTATAATCACCCATTGCCATTGGGTCCAAAACGGCCAGTTTCATTTTCCATGTGATGAACTAATATTAATATTGTCCTAATACTACACAATTTTATAGAAGCTCTTTATATCATCGTGTTATCCAACAGAAATATATAAAATATCCAGCAGATCTTAGAGCAGGATTAATTATGATTCGAACAGAATCGAATTGTTTCCTATTTAGAATATCTCGAAGAAACGAATAGCATAGTTTGCCCTGGAGCGCTCACAGAAAATGTCCATCAATAAACATTTTAACGTGAACTCATGTATTTCAGGCATGATGATTTTTGTAACACGCTACTCTCTACTGAGATGCTGCAAAATATCTACGAATTAAAAAAACGTCGCACATTTAATAATTTGCGGATTTTGTTTTAAAATGTTGAATGTGATAGAGAACAGAAATATAAGGCAAATACATAAACCGACGTTATGTATATTTTGCAGCGATGCAGGCAACAGAGGCAGGCGACATTTGCAGCGATGCAGGCAACAGAGGCAGGCGACATTTGCAGCGATGCAGGCAACAGAGGCAGGCGACATTTGCAGCGACGCAGGCAACAGAGGCAGGCGGTATTTGCAGCGGTGCAGGCAACAGAGGCAGGCGACATTTGCAGCGATGCTGGCAACAGAGGCAGGCGATGCTGGCAACAGAGGCAGGCGATGCAGGCAACAGAGGCAGGCGACATTTGTGTATGATGCAAATAACATGACGCAAACCAACATTGCGCGCGTAACTACATATGTTGAAATATCAAACATACGACCGGTGTATGTTGCTTATACTTTGTATTTCTGGCAGAACAAACACAGCAACGTTGATGATGAGGCGAGTGATTTTAGCTGTTATACTCGAGTTTTAATAAATAAGAAATAAATGATAAGATGTTACACACAAATGATAGAGGACCGCATGGAATGACCGAGGACCGCATGGAATGATCGAGAACCGAATGGAATGATCAAGGACCGCATGGAATGATCAAGGACCGCATGGAATGATCCAGGACCGCATGGAATGATCCAGGACCGCATGAAATGATCAAAGACCATGGTGATGATTTAAGAAGGAAATCTCGACCAATGTGATTATGAAAGGCATTATGACCGACTAATAATGCAACTATGGTGATATTGTGACATTAATATGCGTGCATTGGCAGGGAGAGCGCAAGACGATAACGGCCGCAAAAATCAATGTTACGATCATTCACCAAATAAAAAAGACAATTGAATAATATTTTCAAATTAAAACAATAATCCCACTATAAGTAGCAATAACCAATGCGGAAACAGATACAATTACGACAACCAGAACATGATAACATTTCAATTCAAAGATAGATAAAGAGGATGCTTTCATAGATGAATAGGATGCTTACCCCCCATGCTGATGGTTTCGTAGGATCTGCATTTGAGGCCAAGGGCGGGGCAGACGATGAGCAGGATACCCAGGAGGACCAGCATCTTGGGGAGGAACCCATGCAAGCAGAGCCATCTTCTGCACCTGAAGGAGGGAGGCTGTAGACCACGGCTACAGGGGGTGATGCCGTGGGGCGGCAGCGAGGATCGTGCGTCTGGCAACAGCGCCGTATTTCGTACGTCTGGCACCAGCGCCGTATTTCGTACGTCTGGCAGCGCGCGAGTTTTTTCTTCCTCTTGTGTTGCCCAGATGTTTTGTACATATGCCAACCACGAGAAACTTTGTACATCTTGTGAAACTGGGATTTTTTGTCCATGTGACAACATAGGGACACCTTGAACGGCTGGCAACGAGTGGCAAGTCAACACATCCTCGACGTCTCGTACTTCTGGCAACGCGTCCACTTGCGGGTCACCATGACCCATGGCGCCAGCCACACATGCGCTCACACTCCTCACCATCAGCCTCACCACGTCACAGCCATGTCTGCACATGAAAAAAACACATAAAAAAGATATGTTCAAACCATGTGAAGACATCAAAATAAGCACGATGAAAGCCATGAATCGCAGCTGCGTACTCATGAAGAATTCTTAAATAATGAAAATACCTTGCAGCAGTAAATATCATTAATGATTTTTCACTTGACACAAGTTGTCAAATGTGTATTGGAGTCATTTATGCACAAAAAACTTGTCAAGAAGCTAGATACATTATACATTATATAGATACATTATACATTATAAGAAGCTAGATACATTATTATACATTATACATCCTACAACTACACAAACATCATCTATACAAACACCCTTAATCTATAAACACATCCTTCATCTATACAAACATCATCCTCATCTCGTGACAAATGTATGACAATACAGGCTATGCAATCTGAATGTTTGCTTAAAACAGCCAGGGATATTTTTGCCGTTGGGTTAAAATAAAGTAAATACAACACGAGAATTTACATGTTTAAGGAGAAATGGATACAAATGAGGAGTGTATGTGCAGAATTGACAGTTTAAACGTGATGGAGTGGAATTGTATGAGTTTAGTTGTATAGCAATTTATAGCTCAATCATGGATTCATGCAATCTAGCGCAATCGAGGTATGAATCAGGTAAAGCTGATATGAATCTACCCTAAGCAGATAAGGTATCTTGTATGAATCTTGTACCAACGCATGCAGGGAACTGGCAACTGATAACCACCACTACTTACGACACCGTAAAGCTACTTACGACGTCTTACCCTTGATACCCATCAATGTAGAACTAACGAGCTTAGTATTAAACTTGATATCTTGCTCCTCGTATAATGTATGATCTTTCTATGTCTCACGATCACCGTAGATCTTACGATCTGTCTATACCTTCCGATCGATAATCGTAGACCCAACGATCTGTCAATGCCTTACGATAATCGTAGACCTAATCTATCTATATCTTACGATAACGTAACTTATAGATAGATTATGTCTCATACAACATACGCTATATTCGATCACGTGTTTCATTGCCGCCTCCAGACAGGAAATAGCCTGCGCGAAGCTGTGCATGCGAATGCGTATGAATGGCATCGCTTTCATGCAAGCGTCAAGCGTGTGTATAGAACGTATTAGTTGAATCATATGAATTTATCAATTAACTCGGATTAATGGAAGAAAATGAATTGTAGGATGTGTATTATGCTACTTAAATAAAAGCTCATAATTTGAAGCCTTTAAATGAAGCTTATAAATGTAAGGCTTTCAATAAAACTTGTGAATTAAACTATGATCAATTTAATTATATAATATTTTGTTTCAACTAGATTATGAATAAATTAAATGGATTGAAGCGTATATATCAAAGCTTATGAATTGAAGCTCATGAACTTTAACGAATGGATCTAAGCGCACGAATTCACTGAAGTGTATGAATTGGAGAGAGCGTATGAATACAGGCGTATGAATTGCAGTGAGCGTATGAATACAGGCGTATGAATTGGACCGTACGCCTCCAATGAATTAATCAAAATAGCGACATCCGGCACCTGCGCTACTGCGTCAGCGCAGATGACGCGGGTAGTGCCAGAAACCGCCACCGGCTGCAACTTTTAACCGATATTTACGTTCAAATTGCGTTAATTATACCAGTTACGAGATAATCAGTGCATGCTGCACGTGAAAAACTAACTTATAATTCAATGAAAAATACTAGAAAACACAAACTGTGCATTGAAAAGCTAAAAGCGTTCGTCGAAGTACAATGGTTTCCTTGGAAATGGAGTTGGCGTTCACGGAACAAGAGTGTCGAGCATTTAGCAGAAGACCTGTTACTGTCTCGTCAAATGAATGCATCTAGCAGGAATTTAGCAAGAGACTAGCGAGAAATTAGCGTGTGAGTCTAACAGGAAAGTTTTAAACTACGTATTTATTAGTTAGCTTAAATCTATTGTCAAGTGCTAATGGGAATTTCTGGGGACGGAACATTTAGGTTTAGCAGCGCGGTTAAAATAGATCATTGATTAGGTGTCGCCTGTGACACGGAGGCGGCACCCGGGGTGTTGGACATGTAACGCATGTTGCTGGTGTTGGACATGTAACGCATGTTGTAGGTGTTAGACATGTAACGCATGTTGCAGGTGTTGGACATGTAACGCATGTTGCAGGTGTTGGACATGTAACGCATGTTGCAGGTGTTGGACATGTAACGCATGTTGCGGGTGTTGGACATGTAACGCATGTTGCGGGTGTTGGACATGTAACGCATGTTGCGGGTGTTGGACATGTAACGCGTATTACAACATGCAAAACAATGATGGTGTTGGAAATGATAATAAATGATGTCTTATCTTTAAGCGGAATCATACGAATTTAAACATAATTCACCCAAAACACACACCAATGTATTTATTATTCACTGACAACATCAATCAGTTAAACTTACTGTTATCAGTTAAACTTACTGTTATCAGTTAAACTTACTATCAGTTAAACTTACTATTATCAGTTAAACTTACTGTTATCAGTTAAACTTACTGTTATCAGTTAAACTTACTGTAGACTCAGTCAAGACTCACCTGAGCTGTGGATGAGCTCAGCAAGCGATGTCACCTTCAGCTACTATCATTAATAAAAGTTTACTGAACACGCGAGTGTTCAACAATAAAAATATACTGAACAACTAATGTTCAACAACAATAAATTAGTGAACAACGAGTGTTCAATAAGAATGTACTTTAAAGATGAACACACCAATTTTTTATATATAATGAGATTCTTTGCAGATCTGAAATTTTACCTGAGAAAATAGTTAGAAAATTGGAAACTTTCATTTTTGAGCAACTATATAGAGATGTAGATGCGTATACGCGATCTATAGGATCCTAGTATCCTATAGAAGAAAATTAGGATTTCAGCCATGAATCAAACATGTCTGCCAACAGCCATGAGTCAAACATGTCTGCCAGCAGCCATGAGTCAATCATGTCTATCAGCAGCAATGCGTCAAACATGTCAGCCATCAGCCATGAGTCAAACATGTCTGTCAGCAGCCATGAGTCAAACATGTCTGCCAGCAGCCATGAGTCAAACATGTCAGCCAGCATCCATGAGTCAAACATGTCAGCCAGCAGCCATGAGTCAAACATGTCTGCCAGCAGCTATGAGTCAAACATGTCTGTCAGCAGCTATGAGTCAAACATGTCAGCCAACAGTCATGAGTCAAACATGTCTGCCAGCAGCCATGAGTCAAACATGTCTGCCAGCAGCCATGAGTCAAACAAGTCAGCCAGCAGCCATGAGTCAAACATGCCAGCCAGGAGCCATGAGTCAAACATGTCAGCCAGCAGCCATGAGTCAAACATTTCTGCCAGCAGCCATGAGTCAAACATTTCTGCCAGCAGCCATGAGTCAAACATGTCTACCAGCAGCCACAAGTCAATCATGTCTGCCAGCAGCCATATGAGTCAAACATGTCAGCCAGCAGCCATATGAGTCAAACATGTCAGCCAGCAGCCATGAGTCAAACATGTCAGCCAGCAGCCATGAGTCAAACATGTCAGCCAGCAGCCATGAGTCAAACATGTCAGCCAGCATCCATGAGTCAAACATGTCAGCCAGCAGCCATGAGTCAAACATGCCAGCCAGCAGCCATGAGTCAAACAAGCCAGCCAGCAGCCATGAGTCAAACATGTTTGCCAGCAGCCATGAGTCAATCATGTCTGCCAGCAGCCACGAGTCAAACATGTCTGCCAGCAGCCATGAGTCAAACATGTCTGCCAGCAGCCANCATGGACATCTTTGCATCAGTCCATGGACTTCTATGCATCAGTCCGTGGACTTTTATGCATCAGTCCATGGACATCTTTGCATCAGTCCATGGACTTCTATGCATCAGTCCATGGACTTCTATGCATCAGTCCATGGACTTCTATGCATCAGTCCAATGCATCACCACTACCTCCCCAAGATCATACCTATATCACCTCACAACCACCATCATCACCCACTACCATCATCACCTCACAACCACCATCATCACCTCACAACCCCCATCATCACCTCACAACCACCATCATCACCTCACAACCACCATCATCACCTCACAACCACCATCATCACCTCACTATCATCATCACCACCTCGCTATATTTACAACGCTGCCTAAATGAAAACCTTGAGCAGGCGCTCGCTTAAGGCCACCATCTTTGGTACGTAATAGGCGTTTCATTTGTACACATAGTTTTATATAATCTATTGCACATATAGTTAAATCTACTGTAAGCATAGGTTAGTTTATTGTACACGCAGTTTAGTCTATTGTACGGATATTTTCCTCTATGTACACGGTGTTTAGTTTATTGTACGAATAGTTTAGTCTATGGCACATATAGTTTAGTCTATTGAGAGCATAAGTTAGTTTATTGTACACGCAGTTTAGTCTATTGTACGGATATTTTACTCTATGTACACGGTGTTTAGTTTATTGTATGAACAGTTTAATCTATTGCACGCATAGTTTAGTCTATTGTAGGCATAGTTTAGTCAATTACGCGCATAGTTTACAGTCTATTATACGCATAGTTTATAGTCTATTATACGCAGAGTTTAGTCTATTATACGCATAATTTAGTCTATTGCACGCATAGTTTAGTCTATTATACGCATAGTTTAGTCTTTTATACGCATAGTTTAGTCTACTGTACGCATAGTTTGGTCTATTGTACGCATAGTTTAGTCTACTGTACGCATAGTTTAGTCTACTGTACGCATAGTTTAGTCTAATGTACGCATAGTTTAGTATATTGGGCACATAGTTTATAGTCTATTTTACGCATATTTTAGTCTATTGCACACATAGTTTAGTCTATTGCACACATAGTTTAGTCTATTGCACGCATAGTTTAGTCTATTGCACGCATAGTTTAGTCTATTGTACGCATAGTTTAGTCTATTGCACGCATAGTTTAGTCTATTGTGCACATAGTTTAAAGTTTATTGTGCGTATATTTTAGTCTATTTTATGAATATTTTGATCAATTTATACATAGTTTCATCAATTGTACACATATTTCAGTCTATTGTATGCAAAGTTTAGTCTATTTTACAAATTGTTTAGTCTTAGGATGGCATCGGATCACTCCATGGAGCCTTATCTAGTGCAATGCCTGACAGGCTGACACAATCGCTCCATGGAGCCTTATCTAGTGCAGAACCTCATCACTCCATGCAACCTTATCCAGTGCAGAACTTTATCACTCCATGGAGCGTAATCTAGTGCAGAACCTCATCACTCCATGGAGCCTAATCTAGTGCAGAACCTCATCACTCCATGGAGCCTAATCTAGTGCAGAACCTCATCACTCCATGGAGCCTTATCTAGTGCAGAACCTCATCACTCCATGCAACCTTATCCAGTGCAGAACTTTATCACTCCATGGAGCGTAATCTAGTGAAGAACTTCCATCACTCCACGGAGCCTAATCTAGTGCAGAACCTCATCACTCCATGGAGCCTTATCTAGTGCAGAACTTCATCACTCCATGGAGACTAATCTAGTGCAGAACTTTACCACTCCATGCGGCCTAATCTAGTGCAAAACTTTATCACTCCATGGAGCCTAACCTAGTGCAGAACCTCATCACTCCATGGAGCCTTATCTAGTGCAGAACCTCATCACTCCATGGAGCCTAACCTAGTGCAGAGCCTCATCACTCCATGGAGCTTAATTCACTGCAGAACCTCATCACTCCATGGAGCCTAATCTACTGCAGAACCAAATCACGCCATGGAGCCTAATCTAGTGCAGAACTTCATCACTCCATGGAGCCTAATCTAGTGCAGAACTTCATCACTCCATGGAGCCTAATCTAGTGCAGAACTTCATCACTCCATGGAGCCTAATCTACTGCAGAACCTCATCACTCCATGGAGCCTAATCTAGTGCAGAACCTCATCACTCCATGGAGCCTTATCTAATGCAGAACCTCATGACTCCATGGAGCCTTATCCAGCGCACAATCTGCTAGAACCACTCGCGGAAACCAACGAGCCTATCAAGGCAGACTTATCTCTCCTAATTGCTTCTTTATCTTTCATTTCATTACATAAAGCCTAATTCATCTCGACAAAGTACAATAAGTTTTGTACATCAGTGCATGTACAATGAGTCTTGGGCTAGACGGGAGAGAGCTATTATATACTATATATACCTACTATATAGTACTATTCGTACTATAGATATTATAACACTAAGATACCATTTAATAACACTTGTAACGCTAAGTAGGTACAACAGAGTTCTCGTCAACCTTTTCCAACCGAGAACACTGAAGTTGTTCAACTGATCGTGTACAATTCAATTGGGTTGGGTTTCATGATGTAAGATGTACGTCGCAATGTTCATCCGAATAATCCGTATTGTGTGTGCACCAATTGATAAAGTCAAAGACTAACCGTGTAAGGCTGCAGTGATCACTGATCAACCGCGTACAGCGCATTGTCCAGTTATTGAACGTGATGCCCAGTTAGTAGAACTTTAAACACGACAGTTTAACACGTAAATTAGGAGGCAGATAAAAGTGTGTGCAGAGCAGTGAGCGATAGCTCACTCCTCTGCCGCTCAAATGTAAGTTGCACCGCCATGAACGTATTGATCAACAGCTGCAGCTTGCTCGTAGCAGGAAAAACGTCATCTAACTCCCTGAGGACGAGGGGTAGTGCGCACAGCCTCTAGGATAGCAAATTTATATATATTATCATGCTGAGTACAAGCATGTGAGCTAAGATAAACAAAGAGTGGCACAGAGCAATGGCTGGTCGCAGAAGCTAAGCCTTTACAGCCAGTTTGCCTAACAGTTCCTGCAACCTTCAGCCACACTCAGCCAGTTTTGTCTTGCAAGTTTCTTGGCACCTGAACCTACACAAATCGAGAAACCTGCACTCGTAAAGAATTCATTTTACTGTTATAAACAAAATCAGAAATTGTATATAGCTGCTTTAATTTCACACTGTCTGTCCTAACACGAAAGGCCGATTTATCTGATGAGTACAACGCGGTAACACCTCACACTTCCGCGTCTGCAGGGCAACTGATTCTGATTCGGCCGACCTCTAGCAACAACTTGGATGCCAAAGATATCTTCCCATCTCGGATGGATTTTTCATGGTGTCACTTCATAAAAGGCACTGAAGTGCATCTCATTGTGTTGACATTTAGCACAGCAAGCTCCAAAACAAGCTCCATATTTGGCATATGATTGCTGCCAAACACAAGGTTTATAATATAAAGATAGCTGTGTTCCAAACGTTCATTGATAACTAGAAAGTTTCTTTTCTGCAATATTTATCCAAATCTCAGAAATTTGTAAACGATTGACGCATGCCCACAGCTACGCATACGCAATGTGGTTTAAATTTTATTTCGAACACATTTATAATTGTAGATTGATATTTATCATTTTATCCATATGAATTTTCCTTTAAAAGAAGATGACGCTTAATTAAAATACTTATGGACAAGCAAACCATGTGGCTCAAGGAGCTATGGAAGGACTTTCTAGGAACCAGCAGTCCGACACTTCGGTGCCCATCTCGCAGCGACGATTCTGCAGATAACTGGTTTCTCTTCTTAAAATGATCCTGTTCGCCTGGATGTAATCACAAATTCCATTAGCGAATGTCAAAGCTAACTTTTATAACGTTGGCGTTCCATTAGCAATAATTTTCCATTATTTTCACTAAAAGTAAATAATATCAATGGTATAACGGGTGACCAATGGAAGATGAATCTCG